TGAATCTGTTCGTATCCGGTACTGCCGGTCCGTAACCGGATGACAGAAGATCCATTTTCGAAGTTCTTTGGTTGGCGATGGCACTGGCATTCGAATCTTTGCTGGCAGCATGGCAGGCGGTCCAGCGTCCCCGTACGTGCAGCAGTCGTCGCTCCAGCCCGTGGACATCCACACGGAGCTGCCGGCGCCCGAGACCAAGAGCGTACGCCGCCATGTACCTGCAGGCGACGAAAGCTCATGGGGATCTACCGTGTAGAACAAGCGCAAGCTGATCATCGTTGGCGTCGCACTCGTCGTCGTCGCCGCCGTCGTGGGCACGACCGTGGGCGTGCTCGTGACCAAGAAGAGCACGTCGTCGCAAGCGTCCGACGGCAACAACAACAACAACAACGGAGCGACAACCGCGCCGACCGGTACGTCCCGCCCGGGCGACACGACGGCGACAGGCGAGACAGTTGCGCCCGGTGTCTCGACGCCGACGCCGACATCGTCGAACGGCAAGCCGATCGTGCCGGCTAACCCGACGTCCGACCCCGAGACGCAGACGACAGCGGTGACGATGCTCGCGATCGGCGACTGGGGCAGCACGACTGGCAAGGAGAGTGGCAACCCGGGCTCGTGCTGCGTCTTGTACAAGACCACGAACAAGCTCAACACGGACCTGCCGCGCTACAAGGTCGACTTTTGGTCGCAGAAGCACGTCGCAACGCTCCTCGCGCAGTCGGCGAAGGAGCTTTCGCCGGTGCGCATCCTTGGCCACGGCGACAACGTCTACTGGAATGGCGTCGGGTCGCTCGACGCCGCGTACCGCTTCCAGACGACGTTCGAAGACATGTACAACCAGCCATCGCTCGCCGGTATCAAGTGGGTCAACGTCGCCGGCAATCACGACATTGGCGGCTCGAGCTTTATCTGCGGCGAGAAGGACGATGCATTTGTCGAGTGCTCGTCGACGGCCGAGATGCTCAAGTACCTCAACGAGCGCTTCGACCTCCAGAAGAACTACAAGAGCCCGAACGGCGACCGGTGGCTCATGAAGGACCACTACTATGTCGAGCGCGTGAGTAAGAACGGTGTCTCGGTCGACATCTTCAACGTCGACACCAACTACGCCGACAGCCACGGCGCCCGCCAAGTGTGCTGCCAGTGCTACGGCTACTCGATGAAGTACGGCTACGACGAGAGCAAGTGCAACAACGTCAACGCCGGTGACAAGGCGTGCGCCGGTGGCGACGCCAACATGTACAACACGTGCATGCAGACGATCACGGACTGGGCCGACGACTCGCTCAAGCAGGCGACGCGGGACATTGCCGCGTCGACAGCCGACTTCAAGATCATCAACACGCACTACTCGCCGCAGTACCACATGAGCCCGCCCAAGATGCAGGCCTGGTACGACCTCTGCAAGTCGACGAACGTCCAAGCCTGGTTCAACGGCCACACGCACGGCTTCAACCACGATGTGTCGACGTGGGGCACGCACTTCTTTGAGAACGGTGGCGGCGGTGGCATCATCACCGAGACGTCGTCGGGCGTCACGAGCGCGACCGTCAACAAGTACGTACACCGACCATGGACGCGGTCTCATATGTGAACTCGTAGCAAGTGGATCGCTGGTGGCAACCCGTACGGCTTTATGGAGCTCAGCTTCTCGAAAGACTGGCTCAAGGTGCAATTTGTGACCTTTGATAAGGACTGGGTCTTTGGCGGCACCGACTATGCAGCGACCAAGCAAGGCGGCCTCGCGCGCGGCCACTGCTGGTTCATCCCGAGTGCCAACTACACGGCGAGCGGAGCTCTCGGCGTCGAGTGCAAGAGCTCGATCGACACGCCGCTCGGTGCCCCGATCCGGGCGTGAAGCACTTGGATCTAAGTGATGAATCGTGGTTTTATAAGATCTATATGTGTGATCTGAGCTCGACCAGCTCGGTCGACCAGCTTGCGGCACATGGCTGTTCCGAGGTCGAGTGCCACAGCACCCAAGATCGCCACGACAATGGAAGAGCAGCGAGCAGAGAGCGGTAGGCCCAAGCATAGCGATGACTTGGCCCTGACTCGAACCAGCAAGCGTGCTTGTCTATGCATACTCACTGGCTTGGTGGCGGCGGACGTCGCGGATGTTCGCGGCAGCTGCGGCATCTGATGGATGGGAAGCGTTGGGGCTATGCAACTGGCCTCAAGTGGCAGTGATGTGCGAAGAAGAGTGGACTTGGCCTACGCCGCAAGCCGTAACGCAAGCGCACTCCCCGTACCTCCAGCAGGAATGACAGAGGACGTCTACTGACGAAGGAACCGGGAACGTCTTGGAGAGATTGGCTGGCGCGCCACGGCGGGTGTTGACGGGCTGGGCAAGTGATAGCAGTCGGCGACCTGACCATCTTGAAGTATTGACTTCCACAGGATATCAAGTTAGCGAGGGTTGAGCCACTGGCTGCCTCCTGACTCTGCTTTCGGGTTCCTCACAGGACGGTCGCGCCACTGTCAGCAAGCTCTATTCCAACACGCTAGTACTAAGTGTCCAGTGCAAGCAAGCCGTGCCCACTCCCACATTCCAGGTGCATCCTCTCGCATCGTAGTTTCGCTGTGATGTAGGATGGCGACGTCCGCTTTGCAGCTTTTATTGGCACTACTTCCCACCACAGAGACTTCAACGGTTGATGCACGTAAGCTTACATTGGTGCAGGGCTGCATTCTGCTACCGGTACATGGCAGTGCTCTCGTCTTGATGTGCCAATGCCAGGTCGTAGCCGCTGCGAGTCATTTGATCCAGCTACACAGTATATCAAGTATGCGAGGTTTTTCACTGCCATGTCCTTTCTCATATCTCACCCACGATGCCTTTCAGCCGACGGCTGGTTGGTGGCAGAACTCAATTTCTGCCATGGCGTCGACCCAGGTACGTCCTCTTCCAGCGTCCCTCGCTCAGCGTGCTCGCTCTACTAGCGCGAAGCCGACTCGCTCCTGCACCAAGACGACGCGCCGCCGTCGCGCTTTGCCGCCATCGTACGTCCTTTCTTTCTCATGTCTACCACGACGCTCACGATGCCGTAGACCAAGAAGAGCGTGCTGCTCGCCGCCGTCGCCATTGTCGGTGTCTCGACCGTGGTGTACCTTGCATTGCACTCGTCGGGCGCCGTGACGACGGTCGCCGACGTCAAGGCGCCGGGTGCGTTGATCGCGACGCCCGAGGTCTCGGCCACGCACGTGCCTGGGCACGTGGGCCTCACGGCGGCGATGACCAACAAGTCGCTGCCCGGCTCGGACCCGGAGACGCAGGCGCCGGTGTTCTCGATCCTTGCGATCGGTGATTGGGGCGCGACGTACGGCAAGCAGTTTGGCAACCCTGGCAGCTGCTGCCGCATGTACGCGGGCAAGGTCAACACGCGTCTGAAGCGGTACATGGTCGACTACTACTCGCAGCACTACGTGGCCAACATCCTCGCGCAGTCGGCGGCGCAGTTTGCCGACCGGGGTCTCAAGCCCGTGTACGTCCTCGGGCACGGCGACAACTTTTACTGGAACGGCGTCGGGTCGTGGGACGTGCACTACCGGTTCGCGGATACGTACGAGCGCATGTACTCGCAGCCGTCGCTCGCCGGCATCAAGTGGCTCAACGTGCTTGGCAACCACGACATTGCTGGCTCGTCGTACCTCTGCGGCCACCAAGAAGACCGGTACTACGAGTGCAAGTCGACCGAAGAGATGCTCTTCTTTCTCAACCAGCACTTCAAGCTCCAGCAAAACTACAAGAGCCCGAACGGCGACCGGTGGGTGCTGCGCGATCACTACTACGTCGAGTCGTACGAGAAGGACGGCGTCTCGGTCGACATCTTCAACTTGGACACGAACCACGCCGACAGCCACGGCGCGCGCCAGATCTGCTGCCAGTGCTTTGGCTACTCGGCCAAGATGGGCATCTCGAACGCGGGCTGCGAAGCCGCGAACGAAGGCATGCCCCAGTGCATGGGTGGCAACGTGACCATGTACCGTGCGTGCATGGCCGAGATCGAGGCGTGGTCGCAGGACTCGTACACGCAGGCCGAGCGTGACATCAAGGCGTCGACCGCGACCTTCAAGATCATCAACACGCACTACTCGCCGCACTACCATATGAGCCCGCCCAAGTACATGCGCTGGTACAAGCTGCTGCAGGACGGCAACGTGAACGCGTGGTTCAACGGCCACACGCACGGCTTCTCGCACGACAAGTCGGCGTGGGGCACCCACTTTTTTGAGAACGGCGGCGGCGGCGGTATCCGCACCGACACGGCCGTCGGCGAACACAACGCGCTCATCGACAACCAGTGGGCCGCGGCCGGCAACCCGTACGGCTTTATGGAGCTCACGTTCTCCAAGGACTGGCTCAAGGTGCAGTGGGTCTCGTTCGATAAGGACTGGGTCTTTGGCGGCTTCAACTTGTCGGCGACCGTCCCCGGTGGCATTGCGCGTGGCCACTGCTGGTACATCCCCAACACCAACCACACGGCGTCGCAGGGCGTCGAGTGCAAGAGCTCGGTCAACCACGCGCTTGGCGCGCCGCTGCGTTAAATACCGCTGTTGCTCACTGCTGCATCTTCTAGCTTTTTGATTGTAATCTCATGACATAGTCTTCTTGTCGCATTGGTATTCGACATTATGAATCGAGCTTTTCATTGAAGAACGGCTTTTTGCGCGATGCGAGGGCACCCGGCGGTAGCCGGTGTCCGCACGCTAGCGCGGTAGGGCAATATGCCAAGAAAACCCGAGGTTTGGGGCAGGGTATGTTGCACTTCAATGCACATGATCCCGTCCACCGACGAGTCCAAACTACGTCACACACGATCCCTCCGCTAGATTACTCGCTACCCCAATGCAAAACCTCAACCAAAGAGCTCGACATGCCCCAAGAAAACACGAGGTTAACCCTAGTGACATAGTACTGCTGCATGAGGGTAGGACGGCCCTTGGCGGCGACCGGTATGGAGCTACTGTAGCACGTGCTTGGGGGGCCGCTTGAGAAGATTCTTGATCTTGTCGAGTCGGGCGTCGCCGCGCTGGTTGATGTAGACCGTGTAGACAGCGTCCAGGCGCGTGTGGTGCTTGATGTGATACGTGGCGAGCCACTCGTGGTGCGTGATGGTGTAGTACCACGTCACAAAGAGGTACGAGAGGAGGAGGACCGTCGCGTCTTCGTCCCAGAGAAGAAAGTGGTTCATGATCAAGATGGCGCCGGGGCCGCCGAGCTCAATCGCCAAGTCGCGTGGGTCGGAAATGAGGTTGCTCGACCCCGTCGGTCGGAGGCAGCAGTGGTGCATCAAGTGCAGCTCTGGGCACATCTCGTGGAGAAACTGATGGCCTTTGTAGAAGAGCACTTCGCTCATGCCAATGTTGACGAGCACGCCAACGAGCGTCCATGGCGTGTACGACGACGCGGCCAAGAGGTCGGCGACGGCGGCAGGGCCGGCAAGGTGCTCGATCACAATGACGTTCATGAGCTGCCCGCCGAGAAGCGCGAGAGCCATCGCACAAAGCACGGACCAGTCGGAGAAGCCATTGTAGCGCAGCACGAGCACGTTGCGGCCAAAGCTGTTGGAGACGAGCGCGTCGAGGACCGAGCCCAAGACGCCGAGACCGAGGCCGGCGAGCGCGCCGATCGCGCCGTACCAGTTGATGAGCACAAATACGTTGGTGGCGAAGATGATCTGTGCGATCACAAAGTACGGCAGGCCATGCAGCCGCGCGAGCGGCGCGGGCGCCTTGGGGCCACGCACGACGGCGTCGAACGGAGCCATTCCGGCCTTTCTGGCCCTCGAGAGGCCATTGGTCAAGAACAGCCAATCACAGGGCGGTATGGATCCACAACCCGACGCACGACGATTCGTCGAGACACTGTTTTTCGTGCATGATACACTGTCTTTTACACTGTAAATTTTGGGCGAGACATCAATGTGCCGAGCAACGAAGCAGGCATCGACCGCTCGAATGGTTCGCATCAGCTGCTCTAAGAGACGCTTGGATCGCGAGGGACAGAGCACATACGGCACCGATGCAGTACCCAGAATACGCCGACAACCTCGGCGTCTCGAGAAGGATATGGTTGTTGGCCGGTTTGGTGCAACGCGGAGCATATATCGGAACACCACTGGCAGCGTCAGATCACCACCAAGATGCTTTTGCAACAGGCAACGCTTCTTTCTTTGCTGATGACCACGATCTCAAGAGTCTGACAAGCCAGACGCATAGCACTCCTCTCAATGGCCGCATGGCTCAACTGCGAAAGTCATCAATATGCATCTTCAAGATCAAATGCGAGTCTTCTCGGGCCTGGTACTGCCGCTCTGTACGAAACACAGCGAGCGTCCACCCAGCCTGAGCCCCGCGAGTGTGGACCCACAAAGCAGAGTTCGAGTCGCCACTTGAGCAACACGATGGACGAGATCGTCTAACCAAGGTCCCTAATCCTTGCGCCCACCCTCCTCGCGTGTAGTCGGTACATACTATGAAATTAGTCTTTTAGTAGGTACATACTATTAGTCGACCCGTACTCTGGCCGCTTGGGATTCACGCTACAATGTACTCCTCCAAAGTTGAACTCGGACACAGAAAGGCGGGTTCCTATGCTAGCGAAGGTAGGAGTACACGTTGACGGGGCTGTTCTCAGATACAAGACGCCGCAGCATGCCGTCTGAGCACCCTCAGCGAACCGACGCAATAGCTTGCTACCTCCTACTTTTTCACTCGTTCAACCGTCCATTGTAAGTGACATGGTCACGTGCTGCACGCATCGTCGAGTCACGACATGCGAATCTGCAGCCAAAGGCCGTCGACGTGCTTCCGTCAACAGCTACAGTCCACTTTGCCAGTTGGCGGGAAGGCGAAGCCGTCAAGGGCGGTATCTAGCCGTCCAATCGTGGCTTTGATTGGCTTAGCATGAAGCAAGACGTCATGTGATTCGCCGGTTCTAGCCAATCGCATCCATAAGTTCTGAGTTGTGATCAGACCATCGCCCGCCTGTCTGCGTCTGATTTGGCGAGCGCTGCTCATGCCCGCGCGATCGTCACCGCTCGCGCAGTCAGCAATTTACGTCCGTCTTGGCATGCGGCGCTTTCTTCTGCCATTGCTGCTGCTGGCGGCCGCCGTCAGTGGCCAGCATAATGCGTCAATGTCGTCGTCGGTGTGTACTCCGATCGAGCTGGACGTCGACTACAGTGGGAACGACATCAAAGCCACGACACGGACCAACCCGGAGGACTGCTGTGCCGACTGTGCCGCGACGCCGGGGTGCGTCGTGTACGTCTGGAATGGCGCCTCCACATGCTACCTCAAGCACACGATCGGGTGGCAAGGGCCGGCCCCCGGCGCCCGCGCTGCGAAAAACCCGGGACCTTCCTCGCCGTTTTGCTCGCCAGTGCTTGAAAATACCGAATACCTCGGCGTCGACATGTCGTGGTCGCTCCAACGCCGCGCCGAAGACTGTTGCGACGACTGCCGCAAAACGCCGGGGTGCCAAGCGTTTATGTGGACGCCCGAGGACAACGGCCGCTGCTACTTGCGTCGCCTCGTGGGCGACCCCACACCTCGCGCGGGTGCCCGGTCCGCCCTAGTTAACAAGGTAGCGGCCGTCTGCACGGTCGAGAAGGACGTCGACTACTTTGGCAACGACATTGTCTCGATTCCCCGGGACTCGGCCGACGCGTGTTGCGCCGAGTGCGACGCGACACCCAACTGCGTTGTGTATGTCTGGAGCACATACACGGGTCGGGGTGTGTGCAACCTCAAGCACACGAAAGGCCTGACGTCCGTGGCGCCCGGCGCCATTGCCGGCTCAAAAGGTACCACGGGCACCGGCAGCTGTAGTGCCCCCGAGCCGGACGTCGCCTACGACGGGACGCAGCTTGCGACGACCAGCCATGTGCTCTCGAGCGCGTGCTGTCAAGATTGCGCCGACACGCCCGGGTGCACGTTCTACGTCTGGTCCAGCGGCGTATGTAGCCTCCGCAACAACCAAGGAAAGAAGGTGTCGGCCCCCGGGTCGAGCTCGGGGTCGCTGCGCATGCCCTCGACATCGCCACCGCCGCCGCAGCCGCCGGGTCCGACCAAAGTGCAAACTCAAATCTTTGGAGAGTATCCGCTGCCGCGCATCGCGTACAGCGTGCTGCCGCAAGCGCGCTGGCTCGAGACGTCTGCGTATAAGGCGTTTCTGGAGGCGTTCGAGCGGATCATGACCAACGAAACACTCCAGGCACAGCACGCGGGGATGCCGCACGAGCTTCTTCTCGCTGCGTCGGCGCACGTCCGGTATTTTCCGCGCGTGCGCAGCGCCGGCGAGTGTGCGCTCGTGGCCAGCACATACGGCTTTTCGTACTTTACCTTTGTCGCGGCGTCGCAGCTTTGCATGGCGCACACGTTTGCACCGAGCGCGTCGGCGCCGGCAACGACCTGGATGCGCAATCAAGACGGCAACTTTCTTCAGTTTGCGCCACAAGAGTTTCCGACGACCTTGGTGCGAACCGTGCCGGCACCGACGCTCGGAGCGTGCCAGGCGGCGTGCACCGACAACTGCGCCGGCGTCGGGTACACGGTCGAGAGTGGCGTCTGCGCTGTCGTCGTGCCCGTGGCCCACGTCGATGCCGACACCGACGTCGTCGCCGGCTGGGTGCAGAACCCGCATACGTGGGCGGAGACTCTTAACGGCTTTCAGTACGTCACGATGACCGACCGGGACGTCGGCGACGAAATCTACAAGCGCGTTTTGGCAACCAACATCCCCTCGGTTGTTGCTTGCGCAGCGCTCGTGGCTGCTCAGGCGGACGCTGCCGTGAACGTTCTCTTCCTCTACGACGAGCCGACACAGACCTGCTGCACGGTGCCGACGACAACATCGCCGCTCCGAAGTATCCAGTTTGTTAACTACCCGACGTCACCGATTTCGATTGGGCGGCGTGTGCTGCGCGGCTTGGCCTCGACGCTTGTTGTGCCCGCACTCTCGTACGACGACTGCCACCGCCAATGCCTTCCGTCGGCGTCCAACTGCTTTGCGTCGTCCTATTATACCGAAAAGTGCACCTTGTACACAGCTTTGTACCGGCCGCGGTCGACGCTTGGCGTCCTCAGCCCCAAAGCCTCGCTGCCCGTGGCGCCACCAACGCGCACGTCCTCGGCGCTCTTTCTCACGGCGCACCAAGACGACCACGAACTTTTCGTTTCCGGTCAAGTCGCCAAGGCGGTCGCTGACCCCGACACTGCTGTCGCCTTTATCTACATGACTGCCGGCGACGCCGGGTCGACCAACGGATGGTACGAAGCGCGCGAAGCGGGTACGCTCGCAGCGACACGCGTGTGGGTGCAGGCGGCAGGGCGCTTTGACCCGGTGCAGCGCACGTCGTTCGTCACCGTCCTTGGGCACGTTATCACCAAGGTTGAGATTGGCAACGTTGCGCACTACTTCTTACGCCTCCCCGAGTTCGGGACGATCGACTTGTCGAAATATGGGACGCCGGTCTCACCCATGAACCGGCCCCAAGAGGTCTATGCGACCGAAGCCGACGTGCAAGCCGTCCTCTTGGCGATCGTCAAGATGGAGGCCAAGGGCCGCGCGACGCTGCACAGCCAGCAGTATGGGCAAGTGGATCACTTTTTGCATGCGATGACTGGCCGTCTCATTGCGAGTGCGGTGGCCACCGACCCGACGCTGTCGACATGCCTCAGCATAGCGTACTACTGGGGCTATCAAAAGTGGCTCGACCCTGTCAACCTCCCGGACAAGCTCACGATTGAGCTCCAGCGCCGGGCGTGGCTGGCGCTCAGCAGCACCGCGTCGCGCTTGTACCCGAGCATGTCGCCATGGCTCGACCATGTTTCGGTGCTTGGCCGCGAGTATGTCGCGTCGTCGCTTGTGCGCACCAACCTCTGCCCTGCCTGAGCCCAATGCTGCTAAGCTCACGTTATATAGCTTGTTGTGCGCTGATTTGTCCGTATTGCGCTTGGTAGCAGCAGTACACTCGCGGCGCCTCGGCAGCTGCTTTGGGTAGAAGAAGTGCGCTGCAAAATTTGGTCGACGCATGCAGTACCTCTTCATCGTCGCACTGGACGCTGCAAGCAAAGGTGGCGCGATCGACGGCTTGCCCTCGCAGTGCTCCGTAGCTGCCGTTGCGCTGGCGGGTTGCCACGCGACGGCTTCTATTTTCGGCGGATCTATTTTTGGCGCTTCGATATTCCATAAAACAGTTCAAAACACAAAGTTTTATACAACTATGCATACAAAACCTAAATAAAGTGGGTGTTGCAAACATGTTTCAAACCAATCCAAGCTCCAACCGCCCTCGCGTGGCAGTTGGTCATTCTCGCCGAACGCCATGGCCTCGCTCGCTGCCGTCTGCGATGCACCGCTGGTCGCTCTGATCTGCGCGTTCCAAGCCGGCTGGCCCAAAGCTCTTGTCGAGTACCACCGCGCGATCTATGCTCCGTCGCTCTCACAGCTCAGCGTGCTCGACCACGCCGCCTCGACCGGCGCCACAAAGGTACTCGCCGCTGCCTACAAGTACCCAAGGGTCTACTGCGTGAGCGCTGCTGCCATGGACGCAGCGGCCTCGAACGGACACTACGATACGGTGCAGTGGCTCCACCACCACGGCGCTCCATGCTCGGTACCCCACACTATCTCCGCGGCAGCCTGGATCTCCTCATCCGCGTCGTGCTCGTACAGGTGTGGGCCATGAACGGTGCCGCCAAGCGCGGTCACTTGCAAATCGTTTGCTTTCTGCACGCACATCGCAGCGAAGGCTGCACCGAGTACGCGTTGCACCACGCGCTTTTGTCGAGCCACACGACAACCGCTGCGTTCCTCCTGGCGCACCGCGCCGAAGGCTGCTGCTCGTACACGCTCGTGCGGGCCGCGCAGCTCGGGTGCGTCTCCTCCATGCGCTCTCATCATGGACGCAACGTACATAGGCGCTTGGACCTTGTCGAATTCCTCTTTTGCCATGGGTTGCAAGGCCGCAGCGGCGCCCAGGCCATGGACATTGCTGCCACCTGGGGCCATCTCGCGATTGTACAGTACTTACATGCCCACAGCGAGAGCAATTGTACGACGCAAGCCCTCGACGGGGCGGCCATGCACGGCCACGCCGATGTGGTGGCCTTTCTGGTGCACCACCGGCGCGAAGGCTACTCGGGTCTGGGCCTCGAGCGCGCGCGCCACCGCGGGTTTGACGCGATCGTCGCCACGCTTCTGGCGCATCCGCATCTGCTGCGCTACTAGCCAAGGCGCGTTTTATTTATTCGAGTTTTACTGCATCCTCTTCCATACATTTATCATTACGCGTCTGCTACAGCTGGCGGCGCGTCGTCGGTCATGGGTGCTGCCTCGGGCGACGCGTCCGTCGGTGCAACTTCTGAGGACGGCTCGGGCGAGGCCTCCGGTGCCGTCGTCGTCTCCGTCGCAATCTCAGCGGCCGGCGATGCAGCAGGCGACGCCTCGGCAGACACAGCAGGCGAGGCCTCAGGAGACGCTTCCGGTGAAGCCTCGGCAGAGACTTCAGGCGACGCTTCTGGCGAGGCCTCTGCAGACTCTACGGGCGAGGCCTCTGCAGACTCTTCGGGCGAGGCCTCTGCAGACTCCTCGGGCGAGGCCTCTGCAGACTGCATGGGCGAGGCATCTGCAGACTCTACGGGCGAGGCCTCTGCAGACTCCTCGGGCGAGGCATCAGCAGACTGCACGGGCGATGCGACCGGGGATGCCTCAGCAGACACGTCAGGAGACGCTTCGACCGACGCCTCAGCAGATTCCTCCATGGGGGTGTCGTCCATAGTGCCATCGACCGACGTCTCGGCGGCGTGTTCCGGCGACGGTGTGGCCATGGGTACTTCTGTGACGGCATCCGGCGAAGGTACGTCGGCAGGCGCGGCGTCAGTAGCGACCTGAGCATCAGTCGCAATGTCGGCAGCCTCCGGAGAGAGGGGCGCCGACGATTCTTCCGGCGTCGCATCAATCGGGGCAATCGGGGAGGCAATGACCGACGACGCACCGTCGGCGATCTCGGACACCGGCTTGGGAGACGCAGCTGCCGACGCCTGCGGCGTGTTTTCAAAGGACGAGATCGCAGACACGTTGGGCGACGCGACGCCCGAGATGCTAGGCGACGCAACGCCCGAGATGCTGGGGGATGCCATGCCCGAGATGCTGGGGGAGGCCACGCCCGAGATGCTGGGGGAGGCCACGCCCGAGATGCTGGGGGAGGCTACGCCGGAGAGCGTCGCGAGCGGCGACTGGACCGCGCCCAGAGGTTCGGCGTCCGCTTCGCCATTGCCCATGTCAACGTCAGCCACCTCTTCAGTCTTCGTAGGCTGCGCCGCTTCCGTGGTTTCGTCTGTTGCGCCCATCGGGTCGTCCTCCTTCTCCTGCGGCACATCAACCTTGACCTGATCCTCGCCCTCGAGCTTGGGCGCGGCGGTAGTCGCTTTAAGCGGCGGCGTATTGGTGCCCATATCTTGGTTCGAACCCATGGGTTGGTCGACGCCTTCCGGCTTGGGCTGCTCGGCGACAGGCGGCGCGATCTGGGCAGGCGGCGGCTGGACAATGGCGACGGGTGCGGGCTTGGACTTGACGGGCGGCTCCGTGCTCTCATCGGCCCACTTGGCGAGCGTCATGAGGTTACGGTTGAGCTTCTTGCGCTTCTTCTCAAGCTTGTCTTGGATGTCGGCAAGCGCGGCGCCCCGCTCGTGCTTGACGGCGTTGTTGAGCTGGATGATCTCGACGATCATGGTCGCGTTCTCATCGAGCATGCTCTAGCCGCCGCCCATAAGCCTCGCATGCATGTAGCAGCATGGTCTACCTGGATGTGCTCGGTCGAGATGTACTTGTGCTCGGGCTCCATGCTCATGGTCGCTCTCTTCCTCGGGACTGCACTTGGTGGACTGGGCACGAGCGGGAATTCCAGCCTCAATTTTTTTGCCACGTCCAGCACACCCATACAAACACCAAGTTATTTCGATCGAATTTTGAATCCTCAAATCCGTGGGCGATGCCGAATTGGCCGCATTCCGTTGTTTATTTGCGGTGCATGCCACTTTCAATGGTCGCCAATGTGGCATTTGGGCCTCAAGTCGGCTCTCCCACCACGACCATATCCGATCCCGACGACGGGACAGTAAAGATCAAGGGCGTCATCGATCGGCTCATTACCCATGCGTATGGATACCCATGGACTTGCGATACCGGTCTCCCGCTCTGCGTCGTTTCGGTTGCACGGAGCGCGTGCCACATTCCATTGTTGTGTGTTTTTAGTAAGCGGCATCTGCCGCAAACAAGTCGACGAATCGAAAGCGGCGAAAATCCCACTTGACAGGATGCTGCGTCGAGCAGCGGGCCGCGCCGCCTTCTCGACGTACGGCAACATCAACTTTAGCCCCAAGAAGCAACGCAGCATTGCGAACGTCGTCAAGGTGTACCATGACGTCCACGCCATGGCGCCGTCGCATGGCACTCTTCTCATTCCGAACGAAGCGCCGTGGCCCGACGAGGCTCGCGGCAAGGACATCAACCTTAGCCGCTTCCGGGCGCTGTACCACCAGAATCGCCTCGATCCAAGCGTCGTCGCCGACATGGATGCGCTGAGTTTTCCATGGAGCGCTCGGCGCCACCACTGGGACGTGCGCTTTCGCGCCCTCGACGCCTTTCTTGCGTTGCATGGGCCGATCCCTGTCCCGTTTGACTTTGTCGTACCAAAGAACGCAGCGTGGCCGCGCGAGACGTGGGGCATCGACCTCGGCCAAGCGTTTGGTCTCTTGCAGCGCGTCGGCTTTCCGTCGTATGTCAAGGGCGACGAGATGGCGCGGTTCGCACCAATCCTAGCGCACCCGCGGACGCGACGTCCGCCATTGACACCCGCGATCCTCGTCGACGCCTGTCGCATCTACTATACCGAGTACGGCAACTTGGACGTACCCTTGATGTATAGGACGCCTGCCGAAGCGCCGTACCCGCCGTACGTGCAGTCGCTTGCGCTCGGGCGCCACCTCCAGGCGCTTCGGTACGACCCGTCGCCGCCGTTTGCAGTCCTCGAACCGCTCGTGCGCGAGATGCACTTTTCGTACATTGGTCCGCGCTGGGGTCTCCAGTTGCGGGCGATCAAGGAATTTGCTGCGAATTTTGGCCATCTCCTCGTGCCCCACTCGTTTGTGATTCCGCCCAACGCGACGACGTGGTCGCCCGACCTCATTGGCCTCCGCCTTGGGAACCTCGTCAATACGCTTCGGACGACCCGGTCGTCGCTGAGCCAAGAGCAGATCCAGGCACTGGAGGACGAAGGCTTTGTGTGGAGCGTGCTCGACTTTGTCTCGGCGCGCAAGCTCAGCGCGCTTACGGCGTTCATTCGCGTCTTTGGCCACCCGCGCGTGCCTCAGCAGTTCGTCGTACCCGAAGACGATAGCGCGTGGCCGGTTGAGGTCCGCGGTCTCCCGCTTGGCACGGTCGTCAAGGACTGGCGCCGACACAAGAAGACGATGACCGACGACATGGTCCAACGGCTCGATGCACTCGGGTTTGTGTGGGACATGGTTGCGTGGCGCCAAGAGCGCGTGCTCCACGCCCTCCAAACGTTCAAGGCACTGCATGGCCACTTGCGCGTTCCGCCGCAGTTTGTCGTACCCACCAACGACGCGCGCTGGCCAGAGAGCACGTGGGATCTGCACCTCACGAATGCGCTCATGAACACGCGCAAAGCCGAACGCGTCCGCGCGACGTGGCCACCGCACCGTATCGCAGCGCTCGAAGCCCTCGGCATCTTGACGCCTCTCGCCTCCACGTCGAGTGATACCCAGAGACAGTTAACGTAAAGACACCGTCTTGAGCTAGTTGAATGCACAGACGAGTTGCTGAGAGCGGTGCGCGATACGCGTCTGTTCTTTGTCAAGGGCTCTTGAACAGCTATCGCGTGGCCACTGCATGAGGGTTAGGGTAGGGGTAGGTGTAGAAAGGGCAAACTGAGTTATTCACGTCGTACGAGCACGGCAAGGAAGAAGAGACCGGGCAATTTCGTAGCTACTGGCAGCACGCGCGACTGTTGTGACACGGCATCAAAGGTCGGGCTGCCGGACACGCCATGCATTCGCCTTGACCGTCGATCGAGTAGGACGATGGCCCGCACCTGTGCACCTCCATGATCGAGGACAACCGACAGAGACGGCAAAGGAGCGTACGCATTGGCGGTCGCAGAAACGGTGCCGGGCGGACAAAAGAAGCCCGCGCTGCACCAGCCGCTGCATGTCTCGACGGTCAAGCCTACATGCATGCAATATGCAATGGCATTGGGTTTCCATGCAAAGACTGTACCTGTGGCGCTGCCGAACGTGCCAGGCGGACACTGATAGAGTACGCCATGCTGACAGAACGACCCCATCGGACAGAGTGCTTGGCCCGACCTAACCAAGTGCGAGGTATGTCGTCGGCGAGAGAGGCATTCGCAAACCGTGTGCTGTTGGTGCCACCCGTGGTGTAGTACCCCACCGATACGGCGAGAGGCTGGGGTGACCCTGGAGGGCAGTAGACGCTCACGTTACCGCATGGAAACGCTTGCGCAGCGATGCTGCCCGTCGGGCAGTAGTACCCCGGCGCACAGAGGCCCGAGCACGTTGGCCGCGTGAGTTGTGGGACACCTCCGTACGTGCCCCCCGGGCACAGAAACGAAGTTCCGTCGACGCAATAGGAGCCCAAGGGGCAAGGCAGCTGGTACCAGCGCATGCTGTCGCGATCCAACGCCTCCGTTTTACGCGCCATTTTCGTCCGCATCATCGAACAGCTCGGACGTACGGGGACGTGTCACCGCCCGAGTAGTAGCCCACAGCGACGGGCTCGGGCGACGCCGATCCCCGGCGACAGATGACGGAAGCGTTTCCGCACGCCACCTACGTTAGTAAATGATTTCTGATAGCTTTTATAGCAAAATAGCACCCACTTGCGTCGGAAGCGAGCTTCCTGGAGGGCAGTAGAAGCCGCGCTGGCAGAGACCCGTGCACTAGGTGCCACCAGAATGCATTGAGAAGAACTACTACGCCACGATGTGCGTACGAGTGTCGATGTCTCTTGGGCTGCGCTGCCGTAGCGGCCGCCCGGACATGGGTAGCGAAGGCCGTACTGGCAAAACGAGCCTGGCTCACATGGGGCTTGCGCGTCGCGGCGCGTGATGTCAGAGAAGAGCCCTGGCCAGAGTACTGCAGTGTGGTTGACAACAGTGGATGGTACCTGCGACCGAGTCGAGCGAGTAGAAGCCTGCCGTCACCGCGACGGGGTACGGCGAGCCCGAGGGGCAGTACAAGTACGGCGCACCGCACGGCTCCTTGCATGCACGAACTTGACAAGAGCTATTCCAACTAAGCATACCACGGCGTCGTGGGCGCTGGCAACCGGGCAGTAGTGTCCCCGTCGACACGCATTTGTGCACAGAGGATTTGTTTCCTTCCAGGAGGTGCCAAACCTATGTCGGACAACGGTGAAGAGACTCACGGGCTTGGGTGGAGCTGCACCGGCCAGCAGGACACGGCGATCGAGCGCCCTGAACGCAGTAGTACCCGGGCTTGCAAGCCGCCTCTTGGTACTTGGTCCACGACGTGTTGGGCGGTAGAAGCGACGCCATCTACATACCATGGCACCATTTTCAGAGACTGTAAAGCCGTCTACTTGGGTTGCGATCGGAAGGTGGATGCAGGTGACACCGTCAAAGTACAAGGCTGTCGTGGTCGCCTCCCACGTCGCGCCCCCCGAGAGCCGATAGCAAGAACAAGTTGTGCGGTCGATCGAGCTACACAGTGCGCAGTGTGCTACAGTCACAGTCGTCACGTACCTCGTTGATGTGAATGGCGGACACGCTTGGCAGAGGCTTTGGCTGTCGCCGTCGTCTGGCTTGAAGGTCCCGAGTGGGCACGGCACACACCTGTGAAGACGATATGAGTGTCACCTCTCGGCGAGACAAGTTGTACGGGGCAAAAGGGAAGAGCGCGTCACCATAGTCGACAGCAATCGTGGACCAACCAGCGAGCAAGAGAGCGGCCAGCGACGTCGACGCGCTTCGATAGAGTCCAGGACCACACGTATCAGTAGTCGCAATGTACTAGCCGTAAGGGACTCTCCATCGCAGGGACAGCAAGTTGAAGCCTACCGAATAAAACCCGCGGGTGACTGGCGTTGGCAACTTCGAGCCGGACGGGCAGTACGACCCGAGCCCACATGTCACTTGGAAGGGCGACGTGCTTCCTGGCGGGCAGTAGTACCCCGATGCACAAACGCCCGAACATGTTGGCGAGATGCTGCCGGGGTCGGTGCCATAGTATCCCCCGGGACACAAGTAGCACTGGCCTTCAAACGCAAACGAGCCCGGTGGTGCGAGTGCTTGCGCCGCTTGTGTCGTTGCCGACGCCCCCACGCCGCAGTAGCCGCTCGATACGACTACAAGTAGTCTCCTTATCAGTACAAACTGTGTAGCAAGCGTACAAAGGGGGCGCGGTGAGCCTTCCGGACAGTACGTATGGGGGCTGCCGCACTCGTTGGCGGTCGCGCCCAAACTTCCTTGCGGGCAATAGTACCCCGGTGCACACTGTCCACTACAAGGACATGAGATGGACCGCGTCCACGCGCCGCACCTGCAAGCCGGTGTTGTCAAGCCAAATGCACTACCAAAGGCACCCGCCGGACACGGGGATCGAAGCCCGTTGAGACAGTAGTGCCCCGGTTCACACACGGCTTGGTCTTTGTGATACAAAGAGTCGATCGGACTCGAGTAGTTGCCAACACCAACCGGCTGCAGAGCGTAGCTGTCCGAGGGGCAAAAGAAGGCCGCGTCGCTGCACGGCGACTACAGCATCACGCAGCTATAAGCACACGCTGAGCCAACGAGGCGCACCGGGGTGACCGTGCCCGCAACGCAAAGCGAGCCAGCAGGACACACACCCGAGCAACGGCTCGAATTGAGTCCCTCGGTGGCCCCGAACCGGCCGACAGGACAGGGAAAGGCTTTTCCTACATGAACATCGACGTGGAGGCTCCCTTGGCTACCTCTAATGCGCACCATAGACGCAGTACGAGCCTGGAGGGCAACGGGTCGCCACCATCGTGATGGCCTGCGTCATGGGGTCTTTAGCTGGGACGAGGTGCATGCCTGGCGGCACGACGCGCGGTGACGCACTGCCCACCGGGCACAAAGCACCGTCGGGACAAGCCAATGGGGTCGTGGTGCCGGCGGGGCAGTAGAAGCCTTCGGGGCACGCGCCCGAGCACGCTGGCGTCGACAAGCTGTCGGTGACGCCATAGGTCCCTAGATCCTTGCATATGGCAAAATTGGCAACTTGATATAGAGTTGATACCCGGCGGGCATGGAAGGGGGGCACTCGCACCAAGTGGGCAGTAGCTCCCTGGAGGACACACATCCGAGCATGCCGGCGATGTCAGCCCGCTGGTTGAGCCAAAGGTCCCCTCGACACACGGCAGGAGCTGCCCGTTGACGCAGTAGAAGCCTGCTTCACAGAGAGCAACCGACTCGCTACACAGTTGCAGTTGTTTCGATATACGATGCGTCGTATACCGTCTCGTGGCATCGATACCAAGCGCGTAGTACCCAGGAGGAACGAGCGACGGTGCTGCGGCGCCAAGAGCGCAGTAGAGGTGCTGTCCGCCGCAAGCAATGGGCTCGGCGCTAAGCCATTATAGTAGGTCCACGCGGCGGATTCAAAATGGGGGGACGTACGTTCCAAGGGGGCAGTAGAACCCGGCGGGGCAGAGGCCAGAGCACTGCGGTGTTTGAAGGCCCGTCACGTTTCCGAAAAAGCCCGCGGGGCACCGCGTCAAGCGATTGTTTCTAATTTGCCGGCCTGAGGTCCCGATCGCGAAGGTATGGTCGCACCTGCAATAGCTACCCGTTGGGCACGGCGCGAGATCGGAACACGGATCTGTCGCCAACCCTTCGGAGGGCAGAAGCTGGCAGTAGCCGCTCTCTGACACGCATGCATTGGCACTAGGCAAGACGAGCGTCGCTGCCACGAGAACGCCCAACATGCTTTGAACTGACGTTACAGGAAACGACCTTTGAGAAAGCAGCGCGAGCCGCGTACTCCGTTCACTACCAAGTGATGTATGTCTCCATTAACGCTATGGTTCGAGCTACAGCGTACATGATATCCTAATGGCAACGGAGCTGCTCGCTTCCTGCCGCTTGCCACGACATGGAGTTCCGAGCAGTGGATTGGGGCATCGAAAAATGTCGCGATGTGATTGGCGGTATCCCGGCTTCGATTTTTTCAAGGACCAATCAAAGCGCGATGAGGTGTTAAAACATCGCGCGTGATGCCTGATTGTGTCAAGTCTGCAAGTGAGTGGTCGCCTGCCACGAGGTCAATGCTATGTAGTACGTAACTTGACACCACAACAATAATGTCATTTGTACTCGTGACCAATGCCATGCTTCGTTGATTGAGTGCTTCGGGTCATGTGCTCGGCGTCGAGCAGCGTTGCGTGGTGCAGCAAACAGGTCGCTGAGGGGCACGCGAAGCACTGCAACCAATTGCATCTAACAGAGTTAAAAACCTGCGGAGTCCGACCAAACATCTATAAATTTAGCACCACTTTATATATGTGGGACTATCTATTTCCGTAGCAAGGCCAAACGAGACATGGGCGCTGGGAAGGTCCACCCGAGCACCAGTTGTCCGGCCCTACCTGCACGATCCAGCTGGCGACGATCATGGAGCACAACCCGCCGTGACACGAAGGCCCGTGGCATCATCTACCCCCACAGCTCTTTCCAGAGGCTATGGAGTGTTGTGAACCTCGCACTGGTGGCGTACATCTGCGCCTGCGTGCCGTACGTCTCTAGCTTTTACTCACTCGCGGTACACTCTGCTGCCTTGATACTTACGTCGTCTCATCTCCGGGTCAGGAGTACCAAGCCAGTGACTGGGTTCTCTATGACGCCATCTCCGATGCGCTCTACGGCGTCGATATCCTCATCCGCTTTCGGTCTCTTCCTCTAGCTGTAGCAGGCATTGTTTCATATTTGTGTGTCTAGCACGGCGTACGTCGACCCTAAAACGGGCGATGTGGTCGCCGAACCCAAACGCATTGCCACGCGGTATCTACGCGGGTGGTTTGGCTTTGATCTGTGCACAACACTGCCGTGGGATACGATTTTCAACCAGCTTGATGCAACACAGTCCCGAGCGACGCAGTACCCGCGCATTCTGCGTGTCTTCCGCCTCACGCGCATCGCCAAAGTGCTGCGCGTGCTCCGGGTACGCTTGCGGCGTCTTCTAGAGAATTTATGATGTCGTGCTAGATCCAATCATTGATCGACTTTTGTGAGGACCAGTTCAACATCAACCGCAACTACATTGTGGTCTCCAAGCTCCTATTGAGTATTGTGCTCGTGGCTCACTTTACCGCGTGCGGCTTTTATGCGCTCGGGACCATGGTCAACGATCAATATGCGGCCGGGCTACACAGCGGCGACCCGACGTCGTCCTGGATAGCTTACGCCACATTTACGAAAAAGTACGACGCTCAAGCTATCGAGAAACTAACAATTGTCTCTAGGATCTGGAAATTGTCGTACACCAAGCCCGAAATGTACACGTCGACGCTCTATTTTGCCTTTACGATGATGGCAACCGTCGGGTTTGGCGACTTTACCCCGATTACCATCGTCTGCGAAACTTCACATTTCCTTTTTCTGATTCCCCAACTGTGTAGAATGAGCGCATTTACACCATGTTTGGCATGGTGCTCTCGGCCGGTATACCATTCTTTTCCATTGTGCGCTTGAAACCCAAATTGTGCTGTAGGCACGTATGCGTTTATGATTGCGAGCGTCTCGTCGAGCGTGGCGTCGATGAATGTGACCAAAAATCGATATTTCGAGCGCCTGAACGAGCTCAATGCGTACATGGAGTCACGGGAGCTGCCACCGCCCCTCGTACTGCGCACCCGACGGTGTGTCCATTGCACAACCCGTCGTATATTTTCGGAAACTAATGGTTTTGCATCATAGGTATTACCGGTATTTCCTCCAGCACAAGACCGTGTACGACGAAAGCCGAATTCTCGGCGACCTCTCGACAACGCTGCGCGAAGAAATCACCGAGCACTACATTCACATCACAATCAAAAACATTGCGTTTTTCCAAGGTACACTCTCCCATCCAGGATAAAAAAACGCAACGTTTTCGTTTAGACGTCCCCAAAGGCTTTACTGCGTTCATTGCGATCCACCTCAAGCCGCTCTTTTTATCACCGCAATCGATTGCCCTCAAGGTAATCCTCTAGTCTCGAGCTCGTTGCTGTAGGTCGAATACGATAGATGGGCGACGATGCGAGTGAAATGTTCATTGTTGCCCGCGGGATTCTTCAAGTCTACGAACCTCTTGTGGCCAAGGTATCGTGTCCTGTCCCAAACAACAACCTCACTTGGCGTAGGACGGGTCGTCGGCCGGTGATATTGAGATTTCTCTCTTATCGGACGGCGATCATTTTGGCGAAATGGCGCTTTTGCTGGAAGAGCAGCAAAACCTACGGTCGGCCAGCGTCCGCGCCAAAATTTACTGTGAGCTGCACGCGCTCGACTACAAAAAACTCCAAATCGTAGCGCTTGTTGCTATATCGTGGAATGTGGATCTGAAAATATGCGATAGGGCCTTGCCCGGTACCCTTCCGTGATGGACAAGCTCATGCGGGATGCCCTGCAGCGCAAAATTTTGCTCACGAATCTCCGATCGGCCAAGATCTCCAACCTCCTCACAAGCTCTCCTAGTACATGCCTCTCTCAGATTAAATGACTAACGAGTCGGATCGATAGAGCGGCCAAAGGAGAGCGTCCCCGGCCGTTCGCAGCGGCGCTTTACGCTCAACCCGCGCTTTGTGGGCGACTCGCAGCAGTCGACCAAACGCCTTATCGACTACTAATATACAACGCCGGTTGCTAGTACTTAGGAGCGGTTTCAATTGCGATCTTGATGCGAAGCAAGCAATATACGCCGAGCCAGCGCCGGAGCTCCAAGGTCCTCCCGACCACCCAGCACGTCAGCGACCCACTAGACGAGAGTTGCGACGGAGGCGGCGGGGACCGCGAACGGTGGATCTTGTACCCAAGCCACCAGTTTCGCGTCATTTGGGACGCCATGAACCTCGTCTTGCTCGCGTACGTGTGCACGGTGGTCCCGTACGTCTCGAGCTTCTACTCGGTCGCGGTACGCGCTCTTCTCATCGCACGGTTGCTCAGCGACTTCCAGGACTATCAAGTGAGTCAGTGGGTCATTGCCGACAACATCACCGACATGTTGTATGCCCTCGACATTGTCATCATGTTTCGGTACATTCCATTTCCTCGAGGGCTAAAGACGCATGGACTCTAGTTCGGCCTACGTGGACCCAAAGACGGGCGACGTTGTGTCGAGTCCGCGCCAAATTGCTGCCATGTACGTCCGCGGCTGGCTCGGTTTCGATGTGTTTGCAACATTCCCGTGGGACACGGTGTTTCGAGCGCTCTGGTCGGCCCAGACGCACGCGACCCAGTTGCCGCGGCTCCTGCGCGTGCTTCGCCTTACGCGCATCGCCAAAGTGCTGCGCGTGCTCAAGGTAGATCTAACGACATGTCGGATTGGTCTTGTCTGCATTGGAAGCAGGTGCAAACGTTTGTCGAATTTTGCGAAGACAAGTTGAACATCAACCGCAACTACATTGTGGTCTCCAAGCTCCTGTTGTGCATTTTGTTTGTGGCGCACTTTACCGCGTGTGGCTTTTACTTTATCGGGACGACCATCAACGACGACTATGCGGCCGGCATGGCCGCGCAAGACCCATCGACGTCGTGGATCGCGTACGCCACGTTTGCCAAACAGTACGATGCCCTTTCTTTCGACGGTTGAAGGGAAATTGTACGGAATTGTCTAGCATTTGGCAGACAACCTACTCCAAGCTCGACATGTACATTTCGTCGCTCTACTTTGCGTTTACGATGATGGCGACGGTCGGGTTTGGTGACTTTGTGCCTGTGACCATCGTACGTCTTCCAAATTCGACAACAGAGGACTTTCGGTGTGTAGACGGAGCGCATGTTTACGATTGTCGGCATGGTCGTGTCGGCCGGTATCCCATATTCGTTTGTGAATTGAAACTCAAATTGTGTTGTAGGCACGTATGCGTTTATGATTGCGAGCGTCTCGTCGAGCGTGGCGTCGATGAACGTGACCAAAAATCGATATTTCGAGCGCCTGAACGAGCTCAATGCGTACATGGAGTCGCGCGGCCTCCCGGGGCCGCTGCAGCTGCGCACACGGCGGTACTTCCATCCTAAAATGTCCAAATAAGCGATGACATAATGTTTCGCTAGGTATTATCGGTACTTTTTACAGCGCAAGACCGTCTACGACGAAAGCCGCATCCTCGAAGACCTTTCGTCGTCGCTCCGCGAAGAAATCACTGACCACTACATTCGCATGACGATCAAAAATATCACGTTTTTTCAAGGTATTTGACCGACCTCGCAACACTCTTAACATGTGGGTGCTAGATGTACCCAAGGGTTTTACGGCGTACATTGCTGTCTACTTGAAGCCGCTCTTCCTCTCGCCGCATTCGACGGTTCTCAAGGTAGAGTGTTGCAGTTTCGGTCGATTCGAAAGGTGCATGTAGATGGGCGAGTATGGCAGTGAGATGTTCATCGTGGCGCGCGGCGTCCTCCAAGTGTTTGAGCCGACGCACACACCGGTTCATTAGGCTATCTCTTTCAAGAATCGCAGACAAATGTCGTCCTAGGATGGCGAGGAAGCCGACGATATCGAAATTTCATTTCTTTTCGACGGCGACCATTTTGGGGAAATGGCGCTCCTGCTCGAGGAGCAACAAGGGAAGCGCACAGCGAGTGTCCGCGCCAAAATCTACTGTGAGCTCCACGGCCTCGAGTACAAGCATCTGCAAACCGTGCAACATTTTTTCGTATTTGTCGTATTTACATTTGGAATCGACATAGGGCCTCACGCGGTACCCGTCGGCGATGGACAAGCTCATGGGCGTCGCGCTGCACCGAAAATGTCTTGTGACGAACCTTCGCAAGACAAAAATCACCAACCTCATCACCAGCGTGCAGAGTACATATATATATCGTGATGCACGCAGTATTGACAATATGTTCCACCTGTAGAGAAAACCATCGACAAGCGCTTCAAGAAATTGGCCGCCGAGAAGCGCTTCCAGCGCGACCCAACGTCTACATGGGGGCTGCCCCGCCTCTTCAAGCGCTAAGAACAAATCTTATTGCTCGACGACAATTTGCTATTTTCATATTACATGATCCAGCGCTTCATGGCTTCGTTGGTCACAAACATGACAGCAATCGATGGAATGACCTTGACCGAGTTGGGGATCAAGCCCTTGTAGAAGCCGCGGATGCCTTCGTGGCGGTATATCGTCGTCACTGCGTCCATCGTCCCGTTGTATTGCTAATATCATATTTGCGTTCAGTATCAAGTAAATATCAACTCGAATACGGCACCACGCGTACCTTGTCGCTCAATGCGGTCATTTGGAACCGACGGCGCATGAGGTCAAACGGGTAAGCAGCGGACTGGCCGCACGCACCCGCGACCGCGCCGCAGCCGAGAAGGTACAGCATGTCCGGGCGCCCACTCGCGTCGAGCGGCGCCGACGCGCGCAGGCTCTCAAACACCATAAAGTTGAGGCCCACGTAGGGCGCGATGCCGACAACGGTTGGGCTCATGCCGCGGTAGAGGCCCGTGACGCCTTCGTGCTGCACCGTCACTTTGAGCGCATCTACGCATCGAAGTCGTCAAGGACAGCTTGAAGAAGATGCAGCGTATTTTGCCGTACGCCAAATGCCAGTGTATTGCTGCTTGGTCATCGCGTCGGGCACAGTCATGCGCGCGCGGATAAAGTCGAGCGGGTACGTGACAATGACGGACGCGACGCCGGCGATCGAGCCCGCGAGCAGCTTTTGAAGCGACGTCAAGTCCTTGGCGCCGTCCGAGACCATGATCGGACGGAGCTTCTCAAACCTACGCGTTGCATGAACCTCGGTGGCCACGGACGACACTGGTACGTACATGGCAAATTGAATCGCGGCGTAGGGAAAGACGCGCACGCAGTTGGCGCCGTTGCCCTTGAACATGCCACGCCAGCCTTCTTCGGCCATGATCTTGCGCAGTGATTGGAGCATGCTGCCGTACGCCTTGGGCTCGGTCGACGACGTCTTGAGCATGTCCTGCACTTGGTACAGAATCTTGAGTCGCTCGAGGGGTGCGACTGCCGTGCGCGACATGCAACCGGCAACTAGATCGCAGCGTTGGTTTAGATAAAAGGTCGAGCAATTATAGAAGGCGGTACCGCCGCCGCTAAGAAGGTGCTTGGAGTCCTTGGACAAGTACGTGGCTGGCGTCGCGGGCTTGGCGTCGACCATCTTTCTTGTGTCAACTTGTGAGTCACCAATCGCGCCGTTTCAAATAGTGTTGTTTGACGGCAAGTTGTCGCATATAGTGTACTATACAGGTCGATCAAGAACGCGCTTTCTCGCAAGGGGATAAAAAGTTGGTGTCGTATCCGATGCGAGTGTGTTGGTCTAGGTATACTATTGCAGTGTGTACTAGGAGCGACTGCAAAAGTGGGGCTCACGAAGCCGGTTGCGTCGGAGGTCGTGGGGTGTCGACGCCTGTGCTGTCTCACACTATTTGATGCTGTGTCGACTATCAAGCCTAGCCTCTTTCACTTGCTGTTTGTATGAAAGCTCGGAGTATTGTATTAGAGAAATAAGCATGCGTTTTGTATGCATTTTAAAATGGACGACGAATTCTACATTTTGACATTTGAGGGTACCGCATTCCATTTACAGGGATGCTGCGCGTCGGCTTCCGCGGAGCTCGTGGCGTCCACGCCAAGGCGATCCCGGCCGTCGCGCTCAAGCAACACAAGAAGACGCTGACGCCCGACAAGTACGATGCCGTTGAGCACGGACCATGGGCTACGCATATCTGCTTGACGTAGGTTCAAGGCGCTCTCGCTGGCGTTCCTGGACAAGGTCGAGGCGGCGGTCGCGCCGCTCCTGCCGCCCGTGAACGAGAACTTTGTCGTGCAGCGCACAACGTCGCCGCGTAGGCCCATGGCCGCCATCACTATTTGCTTACTAGTACAGTGGATGCTAGCCAAGCTCGTGCTCCAGACAACGACGCATGAATTCGAGATTGCTGTGCTCGCCAAGCCGCAAAAAATCGAGTTTACGTCGCCGGTACGCAAGCACAAGGGTCCCTTAGCAACGGCCCACTCCATGACCAGCTCCGTTGCATCGGCCCACCATGTGCTCTTGCCTGTAGATCTCGGGCCTGCGCACGTACATTTACAACGGCAAAACGCAGCGCTGGGAAGACGAGGTACGCCACTGACGCTTATGACATGGGCGCCGCATGCTGCACGTTCGTAGACCGACCGGCACGACGTCGAAGGGCTCCTCACGCGCGACCTCATGCGCACGTGCACGGGCATCCCGACGTTTTAAAAAGCACGTTAGCAAAATCGCTCGCAATTGCTTCTTTCGGTGCATTATGACAGAATGCGCGTCGTTGATTGGCCGGCACCCGCCGCAACGCATCGACGGTTGGGCCGCGGAGAAGAAGGTGACGTTGAGTATAGAAACGGCAACCTCTGAAAACGAATACCCTGCCCAAGGACTGGTGACGCACCCTTCACCGTGCTGACCAGAAGAAGCTGTTGAACCAGAGAAGCTATTGATGGGTGGCACACGCCCCATTCTCTGCCGAAGGTCGTACTGGGTTCGACGGAATGGGACTCCACGGCATTTTCACTGGCGTCATGGAATATCAGATTTATATGCGCAGAGCAACGCGCGACGGGATCCGCTGCACTGCACTCACGTCATATTGGTGCATCAACGATTGGCCAAGGATGGTACCACTTGGTCGTCCCGTCGTCCCGCGTGTGGTCGTTTGCTTTGCAAAGGAACGCGATGTCGAACCGTCGGGCGATCTGCATCGGATTGCACGGTCATGCCAGCATGCAACCCTGCGTGCGGTTGCGAGCAGGATCGCACGCTCAGGTTTACGCGGCTGAAATTTCAACGTCGGCTATCATTTCGCGTCTGTTCTCGGTCGGCGGGTCAAAACCTCTATCTTTTGATATCGAAACGGCGCGATCTTGCCCTTGGTGGCTATGGCGTAACCGCTCAAGTCGCTTTTCTGTCCTCGGCTTTGCACTGAGCGGTAATTCGTGCGACGACGTCTCCGTGTTTATGCGATGGCGGCGGACGCTTCCTCGTCCATGGAATCCTGGAAGCGGCTCATGGACTCGAACGATGAGCTTGCTGCTCGATGTCCCTCTGAAGTTGCCGCAGCTGGCTACGCCGTTTCGGCTACCGTCCAGTGAGTGCGTTATCGGAGTTGTCCCGCGAGATTACGTTCGAAACACGCGCTTTCAAGTTTCGCCAGATCCGGATCGTACCAGAATGAGTGCAGAGCAGCAGAAGAGCAGCATTGGCTACCTCCTCAACCCGTACCCGCCGCCGCCGACCTTCCTCGGCCGGCGCGACGCCGCCATCCAAGACGCCGTCCAAGCGCTCATTGACGAGGAGTTCAACCACGTCACTTGGTCCAAGCCGCTCTCGGTCCAGCGCAACCGGTGCTCGGTCGACGGCTGCACGACCGCGGCCGTGAGCAAGTCGCTCTGCGTCCGCCACGGCGTACACAGCTACACGAGTCGAAGCGGTAGCCTTACATGTTGTAGGGCGGCACACGCTGCTCCGAGCCCGGCTGCACCAAGCGAACCAAGCGCCACAACCGATGTTACCTACACGGTACGCCCCGCGCGCTAGCGTGTCGCTGGCCATCTCACTTCCGACATATCTCTCTCTAGGCGGCTATGTCCTCTGCAACATTGCAGGATGCACGAGCAAGGCCAAGCGTCACGGCGTCTGCTGGGCCCACGGCGGCGGTACACGGCATCCCACCCCTCGAGTGCCCGTTGCTGACGCAGCTTTTCGTGTAGGAGCACCTTGCCGGCACCTCGACTGTCCCAAGCTCGCTGCCAAAGGCGGCTTGTGCTGGACGCACGGCGGCGGCCACCGCTGCCACGCGGCGGGCTGCGACCGGCGGGCATACAAGCGGCAAAATTTTCTCTGTGACGCCCACGCCGTCCGCAACTAGCGCCGTGACGCGAGTAGGGTAGGGACCATAGTGTGCGTAAACCTATATAACTTCGAAACACTACAGTTGATGCAGCGTCGCGTCGGGCGTCGGGACATCGCCTTTAGACGGCATGGCCCGGTTCCACATGAGGCGCCAGCCCTTGACGTGCTAATGCTAGCGTGAGCAGAATAACGTATGCGACTAGAATAGACCTGCGGCGACGCTTCGGCTTCCCACGTCCCGAACGGACTCCGGCTGAGCTCTTGCTCGCACGACATGCGCAGGATGTCGGACATTTCCCAGTCGGCTTGCTGCATGTACGCATCGGCGCTCATCTACCAGATCTGATTTCTGCACTAGAGCGATAGTATACCTCCGAGTTGGTCTCGAGCACCAAGACGCCGTCCGTCGAGATGCACGACGACCGACCTTCGTACTCGGCGTTCGGACGCGGGCTCGTCGCCGCCGTCGACTCCTGCACCTCCAATATCGTCTCATTTGATCGAGGTTAAACCGACAGCTTGTACCGGTGTCTCGATGCCGGTGCGGAGCTGGCTGTAGTAGAGGACCCAGTCGGCGTGCTGCGAGATCACGTCATGGGACCAGCGCACGTTGGGCGCAACCTACACGCCGTCGCCAGTGACACCTCCGTACGAACGCAGAGTGCGAGACCGCGGGATTCGCGAGCCACGGATGCCGGGCAACGTCGTCGGCGCTACAGTGGCGTGAGTCGCAGAGACAAGAGCGAAAGCACGTACGTCATCCAGTCATTCGGATCCAGCGAGAGCAGGCGCGCGACGAGGTCTTTGGCCGCGCGGCTAATGTGGGCGTGGCCAGGCGGAAACTGCAGCGGCTTGTGCAGCACGCTGTCCATGACAGCCTGGATCGAGTCGCCGGGAAATGGAAACGACGCAAAGAGCATAATGTAGCTACCATAGAACGCCATCAAACTCTATCAACGGATGGGATGAGCTCGCACAGCGAGACGCCAAGCGCCCAGAGATCGACTTGAACTGCGTGCTGGAACGTCGGCAATGTGAGCGCATTTTGGACGAGAATAAAGGGCGGGAAGAAGCGGACTTCTTGAAGTTGCCGAAGCAGCTTTTTGCTGCCTAGTTTAGTATGCGACATGGAGCTATAGGATGACAATACTGTACATTGGCTGAAGACCGTGCTCGGTCCTGCGCGACCAAAATCCACCAGCAGCGCCTACTCTCCGAGGCGTGAGAACGATGCGCAGTGGGTCCACCACCTTGGAGTCGGGATCGAGCTCGCTAAAGAGCATGTGCTCGGGTCGAAGGTCGCCGTGTATCCATTCGCGCTCGTGCAAGTGGACGAGACCTTGGACAATGTCGGCAACCGCGCGGCTGAGCTCGGCCTCCTAGAGCAGTCGATGGTAAGCGGTGGATCGAGCGATGTCTACACTGCCATGGGTTGTACCGTGAGTGCAAAGATGGAGGCGTGCGGCTCGAGGACACGGCGCATGACCTCGCCGCCTTTTGAGAGCTCAAACGCAATCTCGACCTAATGCATGTGTCGATGATGCTTCGAGGACAATATCGTCTACCGTGTTGGTCGACTCGTACACGCCAAAGAGATGCACGAGGTTCGGGTGGTGCAGCTTGGACATGAGGTGGATCTCGCGGCGAATGTTGCGGCGCTGCGTCGGGTGGGCGAGCGTCCCGCGGTCCATGACCTTGAGCGCGACGATCTCGCCCGTACCGCGGTGCGTCGCGCGGTACACTTGGTGGCTGTACTTGCCTACCAGGAGGCCATGAGCGCCCACGTGCTCGCATGCGACGACGAACTGTTCTTGCGGCTCGCGCTAATGAGCTCGGTGAGGTCGTACACGGAGACCGCTTGCTCCTTGAAGCTCAGGCTTGCGCAGCAGCCCCACGCAGCGCAGAAGCCATACCACCACATGTCGTCTACGCGGGTCATGATGGGCCGTGGCCATGCCATGCTGCGGTCGTACCTCGGGCGTGCGACCGCGGAAATGGAACCTCCGAGTGTGATTTCGCGGGAAAGTCCTTGGCTGCAGACAGCAACAACCCTCGGTTTCAAATGGCTAAAAGAACGCTTCTTAAGAGCATGGGATACGCATGTTGACAACAACAAGCGCCTTTCAATTGCGTGAAATTAGTCCATCAGGATATATCCCTTCATACCAAAGGTACAAATGTCGTACCGAAGGAAACGCCAGTTTCGCACACGAACAAACGGTGCGGTGGCAGGTGCCATGGCGTGCTCCACGAGGCCGACCGGTCGCTGCGTGAGGGCGGTGCCACGTGGCGCAGTGGCTTCTTCTAGCAACTTTGCTATTGCCGTGATAGCGCCAGCGAGAGCTGCGAACGAGAAGCTACGAGATCGCAGAGACTTGGCGCAACGTCAACACGACGTTGATGGCCCACGCTCCATGTAATGCTTGGGTGTCACACTGCGGTAGGCTATTACCGCATACCTCGCGCACTGGCCACGCTCGGCGAACGGGCTCCTTTGGGCAGCAACATTGGGCGTGCATCTTCGAGAGCACATCAGACGACCTGGGCACCAACAGCAGATCGAAGCACGCGCTGGACGCGTCCACCGCCAACACGGAAACGCCGCGCGCCCTTTGCACTCGTCTCGATGGGACCGGAGTCCATACTGCGTCTACCTACCAACATGGCACCGACCACGCCGGCCGCATCAAGTGCAAGGTGCGATGCCAGTCATGGCAATCTTCCGGATCAGGCAAATTATCCGGATCATATCCCGCTGGCCCCAATTGGTGGCCAACTCAATTTTCGAGCGCAACCTGATGGCGACCGCCAAGCTCGCGGACCACTTCAAGAAGACGTCGCCGGCGCCGCCGCCCGGCTTCCAGTTCTCCTTCCAGACAGACGCGCCCGCACCGCCCAAGAAGCCGACAAAGAAGGCAGCGGCGACGACCGTTGCCGACGTGGCGACGCAGCTCGAGGCAGTCACGGTCGCCGACTCGAGCGCGCCGTCCAGTGCGAGTACCAAGAAGAAGAAGCCAAAGAAGAAGAAGAAGAAGACGAAGACGGCGCCAGCAGTTGTGGACGCGCCAGTGGCGGCGCCCGCGCCGGCATCGTCCGATTTTCAGTTCCTCTTTAGCTTTGACAAGCCTAGCTTTTCCGAGGCCGAGCTCGCCGAATTGGCGCCCGAGCCGACAAAGAAGAAGAAGCCCGTGAAAGCATGGGCCAAGCAGAAGAAGCCGGCGCCGGCGCCCATCGTGCCCGAGCCCAAGGACCCGTCGGGCACGACGACCTTTGTGACGCTTCGAAAAGCCACCGACAACTCGTCCGAAGTTCAGAAAATGCAGCTGCGCTACGGCAAGGGCAAGCGCATCGTCGCGCACCCGGTCAAGAAGAAGCCGCTGTCGGAAGGCAGTAGTAGTGCGGACGCGACCTTCAAGTTTAACTTTTGAAAGATCGATCCTTCGATAGTTTCAATATTTCAATCCGACGATCTGAGATCTGAGATCTTAGAGTTTGGCGCGCAAGACGTGGCCCGCAACGTGCTTGAGTAGCATCTATACGCCCAGAGACACGAGATGAAGCAACAGTGGTCCATAGAAGAGGTATACGGCTTGGAGGTAGCGGCGCATCAGCAGTAGGAAAAACGAATGGCCTTTCAGGAGCGCGAGCAGCACGAGAATGTACCCGAGCGACCGCAGTTGGCGCTCAAAGTCCCGGGGCTTTTGCCGCGCCAGCCGGTGCGCCAGGTACGCAATGCCGGCGTCCATATACATTTGGAGCGTGTCCAAATCGGGCAGCTCTTGCCATTGCCTACGCACATGCAGTGGCGTGCGCGCCGTCGATATGGATGACGTTACGTGTACGCTGCGTGGACGAGCGCTTGAACGTCCATTTGCGACGACGGCTGCACGGTGAACGTGGTCGGCGGAAGATACACGCGCTCGGTGATCCCGAGGTGCTTGAGCGACAAAATATCGTTGAGCGTCGCGCTCCCGAGCTTGGCAAACTCTGTAGTATGTTCACGATTGCAGTTCATTTGTCGATAGAGAACGAGGAATAGGGTACCTAGGCGTGGCGCTGCCTTCTTGAGCTGGTCCTGAAACGTTGGCGACACGGCGGCGAGGAGGGCGCTACGATCACCCTACTCAGCTGCCGCTAGGTCGATACCAAAGACGTACAGAATTGCATCCGTGCAGATCCACGCCTCGTGCGGTGTCGGTAGCTTCTGAAAGGGCATCATTTTGACCTACGCGCGGCGTCAGCTTGGCGGCGAGGACTCGACAGACGGCGTTGTGCGTGGCGAGCGATGTGATGAGCTGCAGGACACGCGAGACGTTGTACGGCGTACCGACAAACTGACGAGCGTACTTCTATGCAGCCACCATAGCGCTAAGATCGGTGCCAGGGCCCAGAACGAAGGCTACCGCCACGAGCGCTTGGGCCGCGGGCGACGCGCCAATGGACGGCACGCGGAAGATGGCCGGCTGCCGCTTGGGCAAAAGCACGCGCTCGAGCGGGATCAAGATGGCCTTGGGCGGGCCCACGTGCAGCGCTTCGGTCTCGCTCACCACAATGAGCTACGGTATGTCAGATGCTGTTGCGCAGAGCAGGCCCACCGCGTGGTCGTGGGGCTGGTCGCAGAGGTGGCGCACAGACGAGTACGCGACGCCGTTGGTCGTCACGACAATGATGTCGCCTAGAGCATCATCAGCTTTGGAGGCATCGCACGCTGGTGGTGTACCTGGCAGCGTCTTCTTGGCGGCCAACGCGGCTGCTTCGCGTTGCTCTTTGGGCGACCTACGCGCGTCCTGCAGCCAAGTGATACGTGGACAATGCAGGCGTACGTTTCGAGCTCGTTCGGGTTGACCGAGAGACTGTCGGGCGCGAGGAGCGAGGCCACGGAGAGCAGCCACTCGTCCGCGTTCGTGTCGAGCTTCATGCCACCGTCTTTGTGTGCCCATGTGAGCAATCCGGATATCGCGACGCCGGATACGGTGGAAAGTGCAATTTCGAGCATTTCGCGATCCGCCGATGATGAACTCGGCTCGATGCGTCATCATCCTTCCTCTTCCCATGCTAGAACTGCTGCCTTGCCCAGCTCGAGAGCATCTAGACTGTATATTGCTCGGGTGGTAGCGCTGGCGCTATATGCGGCAACTGTTATCTCAAGATGGCTCCATGTGAGGAAGTATCCACGGATATAAAGGCCACTCCAAGCCCAGCAAAGTTGGTCTCTGCTCGAGGTAGACAGCACCAACGAAGCCAGCGCTGCCGTGTTCTGGCCATCGTCGAAGTCGTTTATCGAATCCAATAAGCGAGCTAACTGTCTCCTGCTACTCGTCGTCGGACGGCGAGTCATCCGCGTTGTCGTCGTTCACGATCTCGACGTCTTTCTCGTCGAGGAGCGTGCCCAGCTCGGAGCCTTCGCGCATCATGACGAGGCGGATTTCTGAGAGCGCGAGGACCTCGCCCGTGCACGCATAGTGCTTTGCGATCTTGATGCGCGCGGCTTTCGGGTACTCGCCGTCGGCGTCGCCGCGGAGCGCTTGGACGAGCTGGCTGCCGTTCTCGCAGAGGAGGTTGCGCACCGTGTTGGACGCGACTTGCAGCGCAAAGCTGTGGACTTTACCGCCGTGCGGACGCGCGTCGATGGAAAAGCAGAGCATTTCGCGGCCCTTTGACTCGCGCCACGAGCCCGACTCTGCAAACTGCGGCGCGTTGCAGCCCTTACTGAAGTGCTCAATGTCCCTGCCGCAGCGTAAGTCGTAGACAGAGCGGACGGAGCAATGTTGTACCAGAGAAAGACAAACTTCTTGGCGTCCTTCTCGCACTTGGCCTTGCCGACGCAGAGCTTGCCGTCCAGTGTGAGCCAGATAATGCGCTTCCGCGGGCGCCCTTTGTTGGGGTACTTGATGAGCTAGAAGAGGCAGCATCGTAGTGCCAGTATATCAAAACAGAGGCACCTCGAACCCTTGCACGAAGAGCTGCCAAATTGCCTGCATGCGGCGCAGGTGAAGATCGTGCTCGACTTTGGACGGACGACCACTTGTTGTCTCCTTGGGGACCACTGCCTGCGACGACGCTTCTGTCGACTTGGTGCCAAAGACGCCTTGAAGGCCATGCAGCACGGCCACCGACCGCATTGTCACTACCACGCAGTGTCATGAGGCCTGCTTGCACGCCTCCACGTACTCATGCTCAAGACGCGGGTCATGGGCTGCGATGGACCATGGAGGTTAACGCCCATGCTCATGCGGCGCTGCCGCGGCGGCGATGGCGGGGCTGCGTCGGTGGTCGCCACGTCGGTTGCCAGCATTGCGCTCGTCGGTTTTTCGCTGCAAGATATTGCGGCCGTCCCATTGCCCAATCAAAACCGCGTAAAATATCGCGTCTGGCCAATCCGATCCTATCATCGTATTGCATTTTGTCCAATCGGGGCCATTCGCAGTGCGCACCGATGCCTCCTGCAGATAGCCCGTGCGGAAAGCCAGGTCTTCTTTGCACTGCTTGACTTTGTCCACAAGGATAGCAGCGCCGCCCTCTTGATTCATCTGTAGCGGAGTACTGGAGTACGGTCGACGAGTTTCGAGTCAGCGAGAATGTTCCGCCAATCACAACAGCGAAAAAGCCAACTTTTTATCCAATGGCATGCACTTTGCCATTCCGCAGCAACCATGTCGGCGGATCCAATCTTGCTCGCCGACATGACGCCGATGCTGGTCTCGCCCTTTGAGCGCTTTGACTTTGTGCTCAGCGACGTCGCATTTGCCATCACGAGCGGCAGCGGGTACCCCGGCGAAGGCGGCGTCTACGTCGGCAGCCGCGGGCGGCTCTTCCTCTCAGCGTACCGGCTTGTCTACGTCGAGCTCGATGCGTCGAACCGCCACTTTCGCAGCTTCTCGCTGCCGCTGTATGCGATCTTTGCGAATCACCAGTTTCGCACGCCGCTCCTTGGGCGACCTGTATACGAAGGTGTCGTGGCGCCGGTCCCAGGCGGCGGCCTCGTCGGGCACGGTCGCTTCAAGTGGACGTTCTGCAGCGTCGGCTTTGACGAATTCGAGTCATTTTACTCTGCCGCGTTTGCCAACTCGCGGGCACTGCACGCTAGCGTCATGGCGCTTGAGACCCCGTCGATCGTCCAAGTACCAGGTCCGAGGCTCGAGCGAGAGATGAATCTTGACATGACGCACTTGACATGACGTAGGTGCCGAGGCCTTTCAGCGTGCGCCGCCGACCACGAAGCTGGCGTTCTGCAGCCCCACGAATCCATTCACACTCTTTGTCTTGCGCCAGCCAGTGCGGCCGAAATGCGCAGACGACCACGAACACAAAGCGTCGGAGCGCGTCTGAGATTAACTACTAAGTAGACTGTACCATTACGACTCGATCGATGAGCCCAACAAGGACGATACGCCTGCAGCGGCAATATCCCTCTCACGTGCCATATGCAAGGAAAAATATTCCTTGCATGGGAGCTTCTCAGAGCCGCAAGCAGCTTGATTCCTGCGCTGCCAAAGCCTCGGTTGAGACGACTTCTTGTGGCTTTCTCTCAGCGTCATTTTGGAGCTGCAGTAACCTTCCGTCTCGCCATACAAGTAGACACTTTGTACGAGTCGCATGGCTGCTCTAGCTAGCCTACTCGTCACCTTCGACAATGCAACTTTGACGCCGTTGTCGCGCGGTTTAGGGTTGAGAGCACCGAGGCATCGCCACGCCCACGCTCTTGGGCCTCCCTTACATCACACCTCTCGTTCCATTGAATTGTTGTCATCTTCATGCTTGCTTTCGTGTACAAGTTGTCCATCCTAGGAGGCGTATCGTCGGCCGCTGTCTCGTTCACTCGTCCCCCGAGTCGGATTCGCCGCTGTCGTGGTCGCCTTCCTTGACGGGGCTCTCTGCGCGCTCCGAGCCTTCCCGATCCAGTAGCGCGCGAACGTCAACGAGCGCGAGGACGTCGCCGGTCGCGGCAAAGTGGCGCGCGAGGCGGCTTCGCACCACACGCGGGTAGTCGCCGTCGCCGTCACCGTGGAGCTGGCTCAAGAGCACACTGAGGTTCTCGACGAGGATGTTGCGCACGTTGGTCGAGTTGACTTGGAGCGCAAAGTAGCGCAGCTCCATCGAGTGCTTGGCGCGCGCTGCGATCGAAAAACACATTGGCTCCTTTCCGCGGGCGTCGCGCCAGCTCAACGAGTTTGTAAACTGTGGCGCGCTGCATCCTTTCTCGATCGACTCCACGTCCCTACACGCGCCTCGATTTCATGTCCTTGGATGCGACCACGTACCAGAGGTTCATATACTTGCCGGCGTGCTTTGCAGCCTTGCTGCGACCGACGCACAGCTTGCCGTCGAGCGTGAGCCAGAACACGCGCTTTCGCGCGCGACCCGCCTTCGGGTACTTGGTCAGCTACACACGTGGCGTCAGAGTCCCCGCAGAGGTGAGTTGTACGTACTTCAAATCCTGTGACCAAGAGCTGCCAAATCGCCTGGAGGCGCTGCCGCTGGGCTTCCTCGTTCTCGACCTTGTGCTTGGACACGAGTTGCGTTTGCCGATCGCGAAAGAGACTCTGCATGCGCGTGATGCCCGAGTGCACGCTCGGTAGCTTTGCTACAGAAGCCGTCATGCCGTCTCCTGGCGCTGAATCGCCTACCCGAGCTCACGTCGTGGCCGAGCAGCTTGGTCGAGCCCAGCGCGCGTGGGTTGTTGGCGTTGGCGGCCATCACGTCGACTTGCACGTCGCTGGTTGCCACGTTCTCAGTCGCGTGCAAACGCGCTTCGTGGAGGCTCATTGCCCTTTCTTCTGAAACCACTAGCGGCAAAAAGGCGCCACCGTTCAAATGGGTTTTATACACGTTAAAGGTACGTTTAACGCGCATAGTGCCCGAGTGGACTGCAATGTCTGCACGGGGATTTGTCGCTCCACTGACAGACGTGATCCATCACATTGTCCTAGTGGCAGTGTTGCGGACTTGCTCGACACCCTGAACGGGGAGTGCAGTAGATGTTATCGAGGCCGCCCAAGGGTTCGGGGTGAACAAGGGTTAGGGTAAGACGGTCTTCACAAAGGAGTGCGCTGTCCTGGAGGCGTCTGAGGCTCTTCAGAGGCGCAAAGTACAACGACACACTACACACGTTACGACGGACGCTCCATGCGATGGAAGCCGCGTCGATGCGAGCATATCCTCATAGGACAATCCCAACCAAAAGTGTCGCAGCGTCCCGGTTTGTTGATTATAGATATGCACAAGGGTATGACTACATGACAATGTAGCTATCCCGCGCGCCTTCCTCGGTCGTCACGTTCAAAAACGACGGGTTCTTGGAGCGGCTGTCTTGGCTCTCGGCGCGCGAGCTGCGGCGCGAACTCTAGTCCATTTCATAAGACAACTTGTCCATAAAAAAAGAGAAAATGTACCACGCGCGATTCGAGGCCGCGCGTAAAGGCGCCGAGAGCTTCTTCCGAGAGGTACATGGCTTCTTCGTCCGACTTGGGCGCAGCCGACGGGCGCGGGCTGCCGTCCGACGCCTTCTTCTGCACCATCTCCCGGAAAACGCCAAACGGGTTGGCCATGAGCGCCGCATACGAGCCCTCTTCGGCCAGCGTGCCGTTCTGGAGCACGAGAATGTTGTCGGCCGATTGCGTCGTCGCGAGGCGGTGCGTCACCTACACAATTCGAGTTTGGATTCTCAAATTTCACAAACAGCGAAAGCCGTACCGAAAGAATCGACATGCCCCACGACGTCGTGAGCTTCTTGAGCGTCGCCACCACCTGCGCCTCCGTCTCCGTGTCGAGCGCCGACGTCGCTTCGTCGAGAATCAAGAGCTTGGGCTTGCGCACGAGGGCGCGCGCGAGGCAGATGCGCTGCATTTGACCGCCACTGAGCGAGACGTCGGCGTGCTGGCCGACCACGGTCTCGTACTGCATCGCCAGCTGCGACACGAACGCATGACAGTTGGCGAGCCGGGCCGCCTCGATGCAGTCTTCGAGCGTAGCGGTGGGCCGGCCGTAGCTATAGATAGACAAATCAATATTGTCTACTGAGCTGTCGTCACGACTCACCGAATGTTGTCGAGGATCGTGCCGTTGAGGATCCCGCCGTCTTGGAAGACGACCGCCACTTGGCTCAAGAGGCTGGCCTGCGAGTAGTTGGCGATGGGCGACGCGTCCCAGAGAATCGAGCCTGCGCTCAGCGGGTAGACTTGCAAGAGCGCATTGAGGAGCGAGCTCTTGCCGCAGCCACTGGGTCCGACCACGCACACATAGTGCCCCTACGCCCAAATTTCGTAAAAAATCAAAAAAAAAAATGCGCACCAGCGGAATCGAAGCGCTGAAGTCATGCACGATCGGCGCGTCCGAGCTCGGGTACTGGAACGACACGTGCTGAAAGCGAATGTACGATGTGAGCAGCGGCAGCGACGGAAGGTCGTCCGTCGTCGGCGCCGACGCGTAGCGCTACACAAGTCACGTCGTTGGCCATCGCTTGAGGCGGGATCTACCTGGTACAAAATGGTGTCGAGGCGCTGGAGACTGGCGGCATTGCCAATCGCAACACGCATAAAGCCACCGAGGACCGTCACGGGCGTCGAGACGCGGCTGAGAAGCGTCACCACCGAGAAAAAGTCACCGGCTGTCATGTAGCCTTGCCACACCTACCCCTACGTATCAGCACCGCCCGTACACGCTTCCCACGCGGTACCTTGACCGCCATGCCGCACGTGATGATCGCAACAAAGAGGAACATGGCCGACTCGACGTAGATCTGGACGAGCCCGCTCCAGAAGTCGTTGCGGAATTGCGCTTCACGCAGCGTGTCGATCGTGTCGGTAAACTTGCGCAGCAGCGGCGTCTGGATGCGGTACGCGCGGACGACCTTATGGCACCCGACCGCGTTCTGGAACTCGGCGGCCGCGAACGCCGACTTGGAGCCAAAGGCTTGGGACTGGGTCGACGCAAAGGTCCGCGGGCCGGACATGACCGAGATGATGACAAAGCCAAAGCTCATGATTGCGATCGTCGGCTCAAAGAAGAAGAGCGCGCCAAAGCCGAGCGTGATCGACACGACGGGGTAGATGAAATTCTACACCACACACAAGTGAGCCACTGACATTCGCTGCAAATATCAGCAATATGTCTCTGAAAACTAGAGAATAATTCTCTGAAATCGCGGGAAAATACACAAAAAACTTGGATGAGCACCACACGTACCCAAAACACGGCTTGCCAGAGCGTGTTGACGCGTGCGACGTCAGACGCAAAGAGGTTGTTGAGGTCGCCTTCGGAGCGCATGGCGTAAAAGGCCGTCGACTCGTGCAGCAAGAGCGACACCAACCGGTTCTGGATCGACTCGGTGGCGCGGGACAGCAGCCGAGACTGGCAAAAGCCCATGAACGCATCAAGCACGACAAAGGGCACGCAGAGCCCGCCGAGACCCGCGAGGCCGATCGTGAGTGTCTTGTTGGGCTTGACACCGGGGACATCAATGTACGTGCCAGTGTCGTCAAGCGTCTTGTTGTTGAAGCGCAGCTCGTGCTCGAGATACGGCTTGATGCCTTCGCCCGTCTTGTACATGGTGAGCGACGACACAGGAAAGGCGTAATCGCCGAGGATCTGGAGCAGGTAGGCGAGGATGGGCACGAGCGTCGCGTGGAAGAAGACGATGAGGAACGTCGCAAACATGAGCGCCTTCTGGTTGGACCAGTGGCGGTACGTCGAGCCGAGGACGTCTTGGATGCCATAGGCGACGACCGGCGTCGTGTCGAGGCTCTGGAGGTGCTGAAGAAACACGTTGATCGACATGTCGGCCGGGCGGTGCAGCACGGCTTTTTCGAGGAAGAGCTGCAATTCCGTGGTCGTGAGCAGCCCGTCGTCGTCGCCGCAGAGGATCGCGAGGTCCGTCGTCATCAACGAGAGCGCTTCCTACGCCATTGTTATGAGCGCAGGAATATGGAGAGAGACTGGATGACGCACTTGAGTCATGCCCGGCATCGAGCGCAGCGTCGATTTGAGCGACGCGACCGAGATTGTCGTTGCTTGCGCCGGCGTCTGCAGCGAGAGCGAGTAGTCGCGGGCCTGCGACTTGAGCACGAAGCGCAGCGCGACCGCAAAGACGTACGCGGCCGCAAAGTACTGTTCGATCTGGTTGATCTTGAACTTGTCATGGTACTCGTCCTGCTCCTTCCCGTTCAAATCAATGAGCCAGTTGTCGCGGTTGTCCTTCTTCCAGTAGCTAGACATCCACGTCGCTTCATCGACAACGTCATACGAGACAGACGTACCGGCAGCCAAGCAGCGCGGCCATGAGCGCGTACGCCGCCAAGTCGAGGCACGAGACGACCGACGACCAGAAATGGCGGCCGAGACACGCGATGCGCAGGAGGAGCTCGAGCGCGCAGAGGCCGACGGCAGCCGTCGAGAGGAGCCGCGTGTGCTTGGCGACTTCAAAGAACGTGTACTGCGACGTCATCGTGGTCGCGACGAGGTTGATGAAGAAATCGAGGAAGAGCACAAACTGCACGAGCTTAAAGAGCACAACGTGATCAAGGGCCGCGATGCGCCGGAGCGCGCTCGAGGCCATCGCCGCCGAGTCGGACCCGAGGAGCTGGCGCACGTGCATCTGCTGCTCCTTCTCGAGGACTGCGTCGGACGCCGACGCCGACCGCTGCTGGCGTGCCATGCTTGGTCGAAATCAAAATTTGACATTGCCACTGCCAACTCGCTGGTAACATGCCAGCTGGTGGTCGCCTGTCTTTTTTATACCTTGGCATTTATATTGGAATAAAATAAAATTGCGACAGTGCCATTCCGCCCCAACAGGCAAACGACCCGCGCAGTCAATCGCGCGGCCGCCACCGAGGCCGTGGAGGTCGTGGAGGGACGACTAGAGTCGTCGACGACATGACAAATATATGCCATTCGCCTAGTGATTATCCGAGAGCGCGTGACGACCAACTCGCGCGTCGATGCTAAGATGGCGTCCTGATTCGGGCGTAGACGACGTGTAGAAATGGTCAAGAATCCACCAAACCACATGCGTGCCGCCTGAGCAAATTCGCAAATTCGGCTTATTTTCCGGCGATACACGAATTTTTGACTTGGCGACAAATATCACGAATCGATAGGCAATGATCCCGTCGGTACAGTGTAGGGCGGTCCAGAGTGCAACGCGGACGGGCACAGCGTTGGACACGACCGACGTCGCAAAGGGCACAAATCGACGAGACCGAGTGCTACTCATACTACCAGGCGGATGCTAGTCGATGCGTAGTCGGAGTGTGCAAAGGCTGCGACGTGTGATCTCGCAGCAGCGTCGTTGGGAGCGCGTTTTGGGGCGCAGTTTGTACGATTCAACAATCATCTTTGTGCGTGGGAATGCTGGCAAGCTTATTCCGGATCGAAAAACCATAACTTGACGAGGGGCATTTGCAGTCTTTCAGTGATGAGCATCTCAAATGAGTCGAATCAGCTCTTCTCTTGGCCAAATCTGACAGCACCGCAGGACAGATGCCAGTGCGTGACGGGATCTGCGGTTCGGGGTTTGGATCCTGCGGTTCTCCGAGACGAACGCGCTTCGACGTATGCACGCCGGGTGGGCAACGGCCTTGTGAGCGAGCCAGCGACCTCGACACTTCTTGACCTCCTACTCAAGAAGCCAATACACTTGTGGCCTTGCCAGCACCCAAAACACCTCGTTCGCGCTGGTGTAGAACGGTGCGAGATCTCTCGACTCCGGAGACGGGTAGCGCCAGCATCCTCGCACGCACCGTCTCTAGTAGGTACTTCCTACTTGTCCGAAGCGATCACGCGGTTCTTTAAGCCCATGGAGCGGTCGTCGGGTCTGCCGTCGGGTCAGAGCGACGTGACGGGGCCCACATGTAATTGCACTTTCTAATGCTCGCACCGGATTGGCTAGAATATAGCCAATCCTGTGTCAGTACCAATGATTCCCAACGATACAGTGTGATGATTGGCGCATTCTACCCAATGGCCTCGATCCTCGTCGAATCTTCTGCCAACGAACAAGCGGAATTCGACTGACATCACGCCGGCACCGCCGGACGAGGACGCCATCTTATTCTCGCCCAAGCTCATTTCCCAAGTGCCCATGACCCACACAGCCACACACTCGGCGCCGCTGAGCCCGACGAGCGCGCTCAAGCACGCCACGACAGCGTCCCCCGAGATCTGCCTCGACGACGCCAGCTTTGCTGCGCGCCGCCGCGCCTCGCCGTTCGGCACGCTCCTCGGCACGCGCGACGGAGTCGAGGTGTACTCGAGCCGTGGCGGGAACCGCGGCAACTTCAAGTCCCACTTCCACAACGGCCACTTTACAGGCGTGCGCTGGCAATGCGTAGAGCTCGCGCGCCGGTACCTCCTCGTGCAGTTCGGTGTCACATTCGAGTCGATTGGCTTTGCGTACGAGATTTTCGAGCCAACGACGCGCTTCGCCAACGTAGCGACCCGCTTCTTGACGCCTGTGACGCGCCATCGCAACGGCAGTCTGACGCGGCCGACGAAAGGCAGCCTCCTCATATGGAACCACGGCGGCATCAACACATACACGGGCCACGTCGCCGTCATCGTCGGCGTCACGGACAGCCACGTGGACATCATTGAGCAAAACATGGACGATACGATCTGGACCGAGGCATACTCGCGCCGGCTCCGCGTCGTGACGGACGGGCACTCGCACTATACGATCCAAAACTTTCATTCGAACGAGACGATCCTTGGCTGGGTGAGCCTCGCGACCGAGACCACATCCGCATAGGTCAAGATTTTTGCCGTCAATACATTTAATACTACTTCAATAATCGTTTCGAGACTTATTGGCGTCGTTCGACAAAGGGTACATGCTAGTGGTTTGACGTTGGCGTCAGCAACTCATAATGCCATCGAGCGTGGTTTCGAAATTGCCATTTTATTCAAATCAATTCATTAAAAAATCAACCAGCGCCCTGGAATACCGCAAATCAGCACATTGAACATCTGTACATCACGAGCGACTTGTCGTGGGCCGTTGAACATAATCCCAGCATTTTCCACCATTTGCTACACTTTGGCCATGCACCGCAACGGCCAGCGTAAGGCTTGGCGATCCGAAATCGAAACTTTTGTGAACAAAGTAACTTTACTTTGTTCTCGGGATACGATATGTCCATGGTATATCTCGACGAGTCGTGGCGATCTCGGCAAAATTGGACTGTGCGCTAGAAGCACAGCCTCGAGAGCAATTATGGCCAAGAACTTATTGCTCGTTGACTACTCGCAGTTCGACTAGTATATACTTGTTGGTTGAAGCACAAAACGTGTCGATCTACTAGTACTTGCGGCGGAGGTACTGGAGGATCTTTTGTTGTTGATACGCGAGCGCGACTTGCATCAACGCTTTCGACATCTTGACCAGGCGCTGCTGGTGCAGGTACTTGACGACGCCAAGATGACCAAACTGAATCGCGAGCTCCATCGCCCGCGGCGTTCCCGCGACCAGTCCTTGCTCGTGCAGATACTTGACGAGGTTGACGTGCCCGTGCCGCGCGGCGAGCTCGAGGGCGACAGGTGAGGCCGAAGCCTTGCAGCTCTTGTGCAAATACGTTAGCATCTCAAGGCCGCCAGCCGCAGCAACAAACTCGATGGCGAGCGGCGAGCACGTAGCAAGCGCGTGTGAATGCAGGTACTGTACGACCTTGAGGTGACCGTTCTTGGCGGCATAGTCCAGCCCATGACTCGTACACCCTTCCTATGCAAGCATCTATCAAGATATGTCGTCGCATTAACGTGAATGAACCTCGCGGTGCGTATGCAGGTACTGGACAACGGCCAAGTGGCCGGCGGCGGCAGCTTCGTCCATTGCGCTCGCCGTGCACCCTTCGAGTCGGTGTTCGTGCAAGTAGGCTACGACGGGAAGGAAGCCGTGTCCGGCTGCTTGGTCCATCGCCTGTGTCGTACAGCCTTCGCTTCGGTGTTCGTGCAGAAATGCCACCTACAACATGCCACGTGACGACCTGTGCACGCCGTATTGCATGGAGGTACCATGGCCAGATCCCCGTGGAGGGCTGCTGCGTCCATGGCCGCTGTTGTACAGCCTTCGCTGCGCCGGTCGTGGAGGTACTTCGCAACCGATCCGTGGTGGTTGGCGACTGCACCGTCCATCGCGGCCGTCGTAGCCGCTACACGGTAAGTCGTCGGCAATCGACAAAAACGTGCAGGACGTTACCAAAGCCTCCGTGCCGATCAAGGTACTTGACGATATCCAAGTGCCCGTGGGTTGCGGCGCCATCGATGGCGGCCGACGTTGCCGCTGCTTTGGCTTGTACGAGCCATTTCACAATGGCAAAGCACCCGTTCGAGGCGGCGAGGTCCAGCGCATCGAACGAGCCGACGATATGGAGCTCGAACAGAAGCTGCAAGACGCGCAAGTGGCCGTGCGCCGCGGCCAAGTCGGCCGCATCGTGCGTAAAGAGCGTTGGCCGGCACCGGTGGAGAAGCCCGACGAGCGCGAGCTCGTTTTCGACAACCGCCGCGTGCAACACGTAGCGAGCGTCGCCGCGCGATCGCAGCCGCAACGATCGCTGCGCGCGGTCGTCAATGCCGTTTGGCTCAAGAAAGGCGCGCGACCAGGCCCTACGCAAGCGCGCGCATGAGCCAAATGCCGAGACGACAACGAGCGTCGCACCGATAGCGGGGCACCAGCGGCAAAAAGACGCCGCCTTGGAACTGCACAATCAGGTGCAGGAACGTCGCCTCAAAGAGCACTTGATGCACGCACGACGCGCTGCTGTGACGCGCCGGAGCTGGCGTCGGCCGCACCGGCGTCACCGGTCCACGGCGGCGACGTTTGCCCATTTTGCACAGCAAAATGGGTTGGTCGACGATGCGAGCCAATCACAGCGCGGTAGCTTTGGCTAAAGGCACGCCATTTTGAAGCGGCAGCGAGCTTGTGAGCCAAACTTCAAGCCTTTATCCTTGTATGAGACCGCAAGCATCGACGCTGCTTGGAGAGACGTGGCCGTGTCGAGACTGTCTCGTTGTGTGCTAACGTAATTTGCTCGAGCAAAATGAAACTCCAGTGGGTTTCCCACCGGCCTTTCTCGCTGGATCCGTGAGACTTGCAAATGCCACCAACGGTCGTGGCGCTACCGCCAACGCGGTGGGACACGATCGCTGAGCTACTCGGTGCTGCATACCTCGTGGTTACTGTTGGCGCGAGCGTCGCAGCGCTCCTCGTGCTCCGGCCGTACATGACCAACGACTTTTTCTGGGCCAGCTTTGGGTCCTCCAACACATCGCGAGGTCTCTTGACGGTCTTTGAGACGCAGCTCACGCTCGCATCCCACCTAAGTGTGCTCGACCTCTCCAGCGTCTCGCTCGCTCCGTCCGCTGGTCTCAACCCGGCGTACGCACGCCTCGTCTTCTACGGCGACTTGGCGACGGTCGAGGCTGGGATCGCCGGCCTCGGTCGCCTCGACGTCGCCAAAGTCACATATCTCATGGCGCCCTACTGCTGGGTCGACTTGGAAAAACACTGGGAAATGGCCCACACATTTGAGCGTCAAGCGCGGTGTGGAGCTCGGTACGCGGCCAACGGCGCTGTGCACCTCGAGGCTGTCCTGCGCAACGTTGACTTGGCCGCGTGGCTCGTGCAGAACGACGCGCGCTTTCAAGCCCGCATCGCTGGGCCGATGGCGGTGACGCCTCGGGGAGAAGCGTGGCGCCAACAGCTCTATGCTCACGTCCGCTTACCGGTGGCAGACGAAGTGGCTGTGTGGAAAGCGCACAATCTGACGGAATTTCATCTGCAGTACGCCAACTATGTCGGTCTCGGCGTCCAAGAAACTATCTACATCACCAACGCGATGGGGTACGCGCTGAAGTGGCGCCTCAAGACGCTCCCGAGCATGGCCGTCACGAGCGTCTGGAGCACGGCGTCGATCTTTGCACCGCTCGAGTACGACCTTGTGGGCATCGCGGCAGGCGAGAGCCTCGTGCGCAACACGAGCAGCTTTTGGGCCGACATCAACCCGAGCGAAATTGAAGTCTTCAACGTCGGGGCTCCCTTGGCGCCGGTGAACCAAGCGCTCCACGACCAGATCGGGCCGCTCATGTCGATTGATTTACGCTGGGTCGCTCCTCCGCCCTTGCTGCTTGCCAACGTCGCCGCCATGCGATCCTGTGTTCTTGCGGCCTTGCGCCGTCGCGACGCTGCGTTTCACCGTCTCTGGAGCGCGATCCCGTCGATGCCAGTGACACCCACGCCGGTGACGTGGCGCGACATCACGCGCGCGTTTCTCGGTGGCAACCCCATGTGCTACAGTGGCATGCCGCTGCCGTTCGTGCAAGAGTCGTTCGGCTTTGACGACGCCTGTGGCACGCAGCAACCGCTGACGCTAATAACGTCACCCTTTGGTGCTCTCTTTGCCGTCGCCATGCAAACAGACAATATGATCTGTCATGCGACGCTGCCTCCGCACCAAGTGGCAATGTGTCTCGAGCAGTTTGCAGCTGCGTCTGCAGCGTGGCAGTACCTGCAACTGTCTCTGCCTCCGATCACCGCGAGCGACGTTGCTGCCACGTATGTTCAGTTTACGACACCAGCCGCCACGCCGGGCAACGCTACGATGCTCGTTCAGTCGCTACTGGCGCCGGACTGGGCGTACTTTGGCTGGATGAGCCTCTACGACTGGGCCATGAACGAGAAGGAAGTTGTGTCCTTCGAAGGCGACATACAGACGCTTTGGCTCATGTCGTATGCGTATACCCCCATGGTGCGCCCCGAGCCGTCGCTGCGATCGAGTCTGGCTGTCTACTTGGCGTACTGTGCTGCTGTCGTCACGATAGGACTGGCGGGCGTCGCGCTTCTCTTGCTGCTGGTCGCGTGGCACACGTCGTCGCGATGCAGTCCGTGGCTCGGCTTCAACTGCGTCGTCGGGTCAGTCTGGCTAAACCGCAATGTCCTTGCATGTCGCGCCTTGGCAGCGGCGATTTGCTTGGCCACCGCACAGTGGGGGCCGTCCGATCCCACCTCCCCCGTCTTTGGGCTCGAGCCGCAACCGAGGTCGCTCCTCACGTCCGGGCTTCTTGCGGGCGACGTCACTTGGACCACGCTCGTCGCCCACGAAACACTGCAGCCGCTCGCTCCCAACCGACATCGAAACGCGCTATGGCCCAGCGCAGTGCTCACGTGGCTGCTTCTTTTGCTCGTCGACCAAGTGGCGCCGGTGCAAGCAACTGCGTCCATAGCACGGTCGTGCTACAGTGTCAATATGGCCACCCTGGTGTACTGCGACAGCGGTGTCGTGGTGCTCGGGTCGTATGCTCGCCTCTTGCAGCTCGGTGCCTGCAGTGTGCTAACGCCCCTTGCCGTGACCGTCTTCTCGCGCATTGCAGCCCAACGCGACGACGCCGCGTCCCCTGGCCTTCTCTACACCTCAGCCTGCCTCGTGGGGCTCCGCGCTCACGATGTATTCGACGGTGTGCCCAAGAACGTCATTGCGCGACTCATGTGCGGCTTTGTCTCGGTGCCCTGGCGAGGCCGTTGGATGACATTTGATACCAAGCTGTGGCGCATGGTGTCCTCCGAGACGCGTGTCGTGTCGGTAGTGCCGGCTTCCTCGATGCGCACGTTGCGACCGTCGACGCTGCTTTCGTTTGCAGTCGTGAAACAAGCGCGGCGCTGGTCGTGGCACGGCGTCTACCTTGTCGCGGGGGCGACCTACATGGTCTTTACCCTCCTTGGCAACGTCACGTACCTCTCGCTCATTCAAGCATCGCTCGCCAACGACTACTACGTCGCTGGCTTCAACAGCAGCGGCATGCACGCCTTCCTCGCCAATGTGCTGAACCGCGAGCTCTTGTCGATATCGTCCGGTGTCGTCGCTCTGGACGACGCGAGCCGCGGCGACATCAACCTGCACTACGACAGCGAGGCGAGCTCGATTCAGTGGGGCGCGACGCTCGGCAACCGTCTGCTCCTGGAGCCGAGCGGCGTCTCGTTGGAGAGTGTCGTGCGGGACTTGCGGGCCATGGACCCGTGTCAACTGCCGTGGATGGCGACGCAGTACTGCTGGCTCGACCTCGAGCGCCAGTGGGCCATGGCGTCGACGGCCGCGCGGCAGGCGCGCTGCGAAGCATCGATGACAGCGAACGGTGCCGTGTACTTGGAAGCGCCACTGCGCAACATGAACGACTGGACCGCGTGGCAGCGCTGTTGGGGCGATTCGTTTCAAATTGGCATCGCCGCCTCCCTCCATACGCTCACGTCGGGCCAAGCCTGGCTACAGCGACTTCAAACGCTGTCGACATCGATCAACGACGAAGCAGCGCTCTGGCGACGCTACGGGCTCACGTCGTTCGACTTGCAGTGGCAAAACTACAAGACTGTGGGCTTGACGCATGCGTTTCATATCACAAATGCGCTCGGTGTGACGTACTCGCTGCCGCTTGGGGACGTGATCGGCAGCTTCCATCCGACGCAGCAGACGTCCATGCGTGCGTACTGGACGCTGGCGAGCGACTTGTGGGCGGTCGCGACCAATGCCAGTGGCATGGGCGGGCGCAGCCTTTTGGCGTCGAGTCCAGCGTTTGCATTCGTCAATGTATCGGGCCAAGCGCTCTTAGCACGCAACCTGACGCTGCCGAGTCCGCTCCGGAGCGGTTTGGTGTCGTTTACAAGCCGCGTGGGTCCTTTCAACGCCGTCGACATGCTGTACGTAGCCGTACCGGACGTCGTGAGTCGGTTGGTTGCGAGCATGACGCAGTCGCTCGCGGCGCTGGTGCTCAACGATGCCACGGCGCGCCGTCGGTTCTACGAGCTGGCGATTCCAAGCTCGATCTTTGACGCGCCCGGTGTGCTCATCAACGACACGACGGCCGTCGTCGTCGGCGGCAACATTCTCTGCGGCAACGACAACGCGGCGTACCCAGCGTCGGTCGCCTTGTACAAGCTCTTTGGCACCGACGGGCTCTGCTTTGTCAACTTTGCCGAGCAGATCTACCCGACGACCCAAGAGATGGTCGTTGCGCTCGCTGTCACCGAATGGACGACCCCGGTGGCGGTGGCAGCGGCGAGTATTTGTCGACTCAACAACGCTGCCGCCGCGTCGTGCGCCTCAACGTACATGGCCCTCTCAGCGTACATCGCCGAGTACGCTCCCACCTTTCCGTCGACGAGTTTGCATTCGATGGCGGCCGATGCCAAGCGTAGCGTAGCGACGCTCAACGTCCAGCTCACGCAGTACGTCGACTACAACGACGGCCGCGGCGCCGACCTCTTCAGCCTGCCGCTGTTCGACGAGAGCGATCCTGCGTGGGCATTCTACGGCTGGTGTTACGTCTACGAGTGGGCGACCGGCGGCCGAGAGGTGATTCGATTCGAGGGCGACGAGGGCGCCATCACTGCGATCTCCCACTACACGATTCCGCAGAGCATGGCGCCCGACCCAGCGTCGATCCCTGCGAGCTTTGCTGCCTTTTGCCAGTACGCGGTGCTGTACGTCACCCTCGTGCTCATCGCAACGTCCGGGCTCGTGGCTACGAGCGCGCTCTACTGTCGCGGCCGCATCGAGGGCCTCAACTTCTTCTGCGTCAACCGCCTCGTCGGGCTCATCTGGGTCGGACGCACCCTCCTCGTGCTCCGGACGATTACAGCGCTGAGTCTCTTGAGCACGGTGCCCTTGGCGCTGACCCGCGTCGATGGCGCGACGCAGCTCGTCTCGCCGGCCGTGCCTTGGTTCAAGACGATCCTCGCGGCCTCCGAAGTGACATGGCTCGTCTACGTCCTCAACGACGTCTTGAGCTGCGTCACGCTGGCCCACACGGCGTCGTATGCGTTCAAAAGCTCCAACCTCGCATGGCTCCTCGTCGCGATCTGGTCCATGATGCAGCCACAGCGCGCCACCTTCCGCTTGCAGCGCGCGTGCACGCGCGTGGACATGGACGCGGGCCTTGTCTGTGTCGGCGGCACCATCGAAGTGGGTAGCTGGACGCGACTGCAGCTGGCGGTGCTGCTGGCCATCGCTTGCGTCGTCGGGTGCTACCTCTACGACCGGTGGCGCTACCCGAATCAACAAACAAACGCGACGATGGCGTCGGCCCTCGCGCTCAACGCACAGAGTGTGTACCTGCTGCGCCTCACACGCTGGACGCACGACGGCGAGACGTACTTGGACACGACGTCCGCGATCCTCGCGGGCCTCTTGGTGCTCGAGGTGCATGGACGTTGGTATGTCTTTGACATCAAGACGTGGCGCTGGTTTTGTCGACCCCGGCGCCCGAGCCCGACAACGCACTTGGCGTTTGCGATTCCATTGTGCGACCTCAGCTAAGGAACGAGCAGCGAGGACGAGGCAGATATATGTCATCATTATACGTTATACTAATGTTACGACGAGTACGTTGACGGCGTGGTGTCGACTCGTTGAGGTGACATACTAGGACGCTCGACCTATTCCGGTGGCTAGGGTAACCGGGAATAACCAAGGGACGAGACCCAAGCTTGGTGACGACCAGTACTATGACCCAGCGTACGCTGCTGTTGTCCATAGGAGCCCAGGGTACAATTTCTTGGGATTTTATTCTGCTCGGTCCTGTTGCAGCATGGGGAATTGAAGTGGCGGGATGGCGCCGCCATGGGATTGGCTGAAAATGACTTGCCCGACGCATTTGATTGGCTGTTCATTTCGACACGACGCGGATGGCGCTGCCACTGGCGTTGCCCAAGATGACGCTGCCACTGGCGTTGCCCAAGATGACGCTGCCACGCGAGCAGCGGATCCTCGCGCTCGCTATCTTCCGGTCCGTGTACGGCCACTGTCGGCCTCGTATCCAGTACGTCGTGCCGGCGTCCGAGCCGTGGCCAGAGCACTTCCACGGCCTCGCGCTGGGCCGGCTGGCTGACAATGCCCGCAGCTCGTGCAAGATGCTCGAGCCCGACAACTTTGCGCAGCTCGAGGCGATAGGCTTTGCGTGGGCGCTGCACCTCAACAACCATCGCATCATCGTGTCGATCAACGGCCGGCGCAGCCTCCAGCGCGTCCAGCTGTCCGCGCTCGTCGCCGCCCTACAGACGCACCACGACCGGTACGGCCACCTCGACATGCCTAAAGACTTTGTCGTGCCGCACGACGACAGCGCGTGGCCGCCCGAGGCTGCTCACGTCGTGCTGCGGTTCGCGCCGCAAGCGCTGCGGACCAACTTTTATGCGCTCGCTGACGACGACGTCGCGATCGTCCATGGCCTCTCGCTGTGCAAGGACCTCTTGCCGTGGGCCGACGTCCTGCGCTTGCTCTCGCTCTACAAGACCAACACAGGCTGCAACTTTGTGCCGCTGGACTTTGTCGTACCGCCAACGGACGCGTGGCCCGCTTGCCATGCCGGCGTTGGCCTCGGCGAGGTGGTGTGGTACCTCGGCATCAAGCGCGCCTTGCTGCCGCCAAAGCGCCGCGCCACCCTCGCCGAACACGCCATCGCGTTCAACGTGCCGGCGACGTGGGCGGGTGTTGTGCGCGGCCTCGAAATCTACGTGGCGCATGTGGGCAATGCCATCGTGCCCCGAGGCTTTGTCGTGCCAGACGAGTGGGAGCCTCAACTGCGCGGCCTCCGACTCGGGTACTTTGCCGCCAAGCTACGCCAAGCCAGCACGCTCTGGCTGCTGCCGCGTGAAACCCAAGAGATTGTGGCGGCGCTCGACGCCTCGGTTGCCAACGGCGTCCGGATCCCACGGCCGACGGTGCCGGCATCGGGGACGACCGCTGCCAACGCACAGGAACCGCTCCGTAGCGTCCATGCCCCGACCAACGGCATGTCGGTGCAGCCGCCAGTGCGCCGGCCTCGGCTGGACGTCGCGTGTTTGCCCATCGAGAGTATCAGCTACTACACCCTTTCACCGACCATGAGTTCGCAACACTTGGCAGCAACTGACGCCTTGCGACCGTCCAAGCGACTTCGGATCTACGCGCCGGAGTCGCCGTCGACGTCGTTTCTTCAGCCTGTCTCTACCGCGTCGGCGGTCGGGTCGGACGACGGCTTGTCGGACCTGCCCCCCGCAACAAGTAATGACGTGATCGAGAGTGCGCCACGGCGCAAATGGACGTTCCACGACAAGCTCACGGCGCTGGGGTGCTACCGCGCCGAGAACGGCCACCTCGCCGTGCCGCAGGCGTTCCGCGTGCCCCCGACGGCGGCGTATCCCGTCTCCTTGCACGACATGCTGCTCGGGATCGTGGTTTCCGCGCTGCGTCAAAAAGACTCGATGCTGTCGCCCGAGCAGCAACGGGACCTCGACACGCTCGGGTTTCTCTGGCGCGTCCGCGGGTCAGTCGGCCGCTGCATTGTCCAATGCCCCAACACGTTGGTCTGCGCGGCGCGGACCATCTCGTGGCAAGATCAGATCCAAGCACTTATCGTCTTCCGGCAGCAGCACGGCCACCTGCAAGTGCCACCTGGCTTTGTCGTGCCGGCCGACGACGCGTGGCCAAGCGCGACGCACCACTTGCTCCTCGAGTACGTGCAGCCGGCGATCCAAGCGCACTTGTACGAGCTCTCGGACGACCAGATTGACGTCGTGCGGTCGGCCGGTCTCGTCACGTCGGTCCCGGATTTCCGCACCTTTGTGTGCCTCCTCGGGCTCTTCCACACCACGTACGGCGTCTCGTCCGTCTACCGCGACTTTGTCATACCACTGCATGACGGCGCGTGGCTGGACGCGTGGCGCGGCCTCGAGCTAGGTGACCTTGCATGGCGCGTTGGCTTGAACCTCTCGCTTCTCTCCAAGGAGAAACAGACGGCGCTCGCGGGCTTCGACTTCAACACGGACGCGACGTGGGCCCGGATCCTGCGAGGTCTGGCGCACTTTGAGCACCTCTACGGCCCTCTGGCCGTGCCAGCGTCCTTTGTCGTGCCAACGACATGGCCCTCGGACCTTCTTGGCCTTCGCCTCGGCCACTGGTCCAAGGTAACCCAGGGCGCATTCCGGCTCGTGCTTTTGCCGCCAACGACAGCGTCGGCCGTCAAAAAGCTCTTGACGCACGACGTCCCGGTCCCGCTCGAGTGGCCAACGCCCACGACGGTGGCGGAGACGGCGGCGCTCAAGACGCGCGTGCTCGCGATGAAGCTCGTGGTCGATGAGGTCTTCAAGCAAGACGTGCCAGAATCGTTCGTGGTACCGGCGAACGGCGTGGCGTGGCCCGAGGGCAGTCACCGCTTCCCACTCGGAAAGGGCGTGCGCTGGCTGCAGAGTCTGCCGGTGTCGCCTCCGAGAGCCATCGACGCAGTCGAGAACCAGGGTCCGCTGCCACAAGGACCCCTGCAGGACCGCCCACTGCCAGCAGCAGCAACACGATCGGAGCCGACGCCACCAACGAGGACGGCGTTGGACCCGCCGATTCCAGAGCCGTCCGAAGCGTCACCGTCCGCAGAAGATCTGCACCGGCAAGTGCACGTGATTGCACTCTACCGCGCCATGTACGGGTCGGCCGACATCCCCATCGAGTTCATCGTGCCGACGTCCGAGCCGTGGCCAGAGCAGTTCCGCGGGCTGCGACTGGGCGCCATTGCCAACGAGATCCAATGCGCCAAGCGGCCGTACGACCGAGGCTTTGAGCGTGATCTACGCGCTGTCGGCTTTGTGTGGCACACGACCGCGCCGTCGTCGCGCTGCGTCGTCCGCGACCCGTCGGGCGACCTCGTCGTCGAAACCATCGACCTCTCGATTCAAATTCGCGCGCTCGTCGCGTACTGGGGGCTCGGCGGGGACCCCAATGCAATCCCACTCGACTACTACGTCCCGGCCAACGACCCAATGTGGCCGTCGGCGGCCGCCGGCATCGTCTTGTCCCATGTCCCCGCCTCGCTCCGGTACCACTGGTTTGAACTCACGGCCGCGATGGAAACCACGGTGCGTCGGCTTGGCCTCTTTGAGCAGATCCCGCCCTTTGAAGTGTTCCTCTCGCTCCTCGAGAATGCCCGTACGCTGCTCGGCGACGCGTCCGTGCCGTTGGACTTTGCTGTGCCCGAAAACCCGGCGTGGCCAGCCGCGTGGCACGGCGTGCTGCTTGGGCAACTAGCGTGGTTCCTTGGCCTCCGCGCACCCAAATTACGACCGGAGAACGCGGCGGCGCTGCGCGCGACTGGCTTTACCTTTGGTGCACCGGCGACATGGGCGCACATTGTGTCGGGCGTCGGGATCTACTACCGCCTCCACGGCGCCTCGGTGGTACCGCCTTCGTTTGTCGTACCCGCGACGCCCGAGTGGCCCGAGGACCTCTACGGCAACCATCTCGGCTACTGGGTCGAGTGCATGGCGATGGCCAAACGCCTCCGGCTCCTTCCGCGCATGACGCTCGACGCGATCCAAGCGGCGGCTGACGACGCTGCCCGAGTGCGGGCCCGTGGTGATGAGCCTCGCATGCTCTCGCTCATCGAGTATGGCCACGCGCTCGACGCGCTCTGGACCTTCCGGCACGTATACGGGCACGTGAGTGTCGCGCCAACGTTCGTCGTGCCTGAGAACGACCGCGCGTGGTCCCCGCCCACTTGGTCGCTCGCCCTCGGCCACTGCGTCCAGCGGCTCAAGGCCACGTATGGCACGTTGCCCTTCTCGATTCGAAGCCACCTCGATGCCATTGGCGTGCGACCGGACGACGCGCGTGGCCCACATCCCAACCCTCCGGTGGTCGACCGCTGGCAGCCGTCCGCACCACGATAGCCCACGAATAACTGCATCAATTTGACATGATTTGTGTACCTCGAGGCGTCTTGTCGCAGGGCAACGTGGTGCCATTCGACGAGTTTGCACTTTGAAATTGCACTTGATACACTGAAACTTGCCATTTTCAAAGGAACTCGAGTTGCGCTTTCGATCGAACCCCTAACCGGGAATTTACATGACGCGGTGGTGTCACCGACTATATTTTTACCTGCCGAGATCGCAAAGCCATGGCGTCAGCGCGTGCTGGACGTTCGGTTGCGCCACGGACTGCAGTGCCTCTGGGTTGCGTGTATTTAGTCGTACCAGCCAGCACACCGCCAACCACAACCACCATCGCAGTGCCTGATTTTGACGGTCAGGTTTGTTTGCGACAATAATACACGGCAGTTGGCTCAGTGTTTGCACATCGAGATAGTCGAGTACTACTTGAAGTGGTACTCGGTAAATGACAAGATACTGCTTTGCAAAGCAGCCTTGCCGAGTAGCTAGGTTGCGTGCATTTAGTGGGACGACGAGGCACCCAAAGTCGACCACAAGGACTCGAGCCCTCCGATGCTCGGTCAAGACAAGTGTACACGCTCTTGGTTATATTCATATTGGCCTTGGACCATATATTAGGACGCGTCTAGCTGCCTTGCCACGTTGACAAAGATCCGAGTCCCACGCCGGCGAGATCCGACAAATGATGTGCAGCGCCGATACCGATATTTTCGAAGCTTGCTGCTTCGAGGCGCCACAGCATGCGCCTTGCGCTCCAGAGCTCACTTTTCAATTTGCACTCATGTGGGCGCTCGTGTTGGCTTCGCTTCTCGTCGTCTGGCTGACGTGGCACCGCTACTCGCACCGGCACCACAACCAGTATCCGTACGTCTACTCGTACCTGCCGTACCTGGGCGCGAGCATTCATTTCCGCCACGGCGCCGTGCGCTGCGTGCAACGTTGGGTGCGGCAGTACGGCACCATCTTCAACATCACGATGCTGGGCGAGCCGCTCACGCTGATCGCGGACCCGGCGCTCTTCTCGACCATCTCGAAGCACCCGCAACTGAGCTTGCTCCCGCTCAAGACGCGCATGATGGGCGTCGGGTTCGGAGCGTTCACGTACGCCACGCAGCCGGACGAGACGATCCAGTCGATCGCCGCCGCAACGCGCAAGAGCCTCACGACGTCGCTCGGCTTTCACAAGCCGTCGCTCGACGAGTTCAACCACGCGAGTGCCACGACGCTTTTGCAAAAGCTGCAGCTATCGTCGTCCCCCAAACGAGTCGCACTCTACCCGTTTCTCAACGAAGTGCTCTTTGAGACGCTTCTCGAAGTGTTTTATGGCAAAGACCTCGCGACGCCGGCGTTCCGCGCCGACTTTAACGCGTGGGACGCCAAGTTTACCGCACTCTACGCGGGCTTCCCCGCCGCGTGGCTCGGCGTCGAGGAGCCCCGGCGTCGTATGCATGCGACGCTGCGGCAGTACGCTGCGACTTCTCGCGACAAGTGTGCGTGTTCTGATTTCTGATTTCTGGTTTCTGATCTTGTGGTCTAATGTAACCCGTGTATAGTGTCGTCGGTCGTGACAGACCGGCTCGCGATTTGCGCGACGCACGGCGTGTCACCCAGTGACACGGACGGCCACCAGCTCTCGTTCGTGTGGGCCATGACGACCAACACGATGCGGGCGTGCTTTTGGGCCATCTGCTACCTACTGGAGAACCCGACCGCGTGGGCCGCCGTGCAGGAGGAAGTCGAGTTGCACGTCGGCGTCACCAATACCACGTGGGATCGAGACGCCATCGAGAAGTACGTCGACACGTTTTTATAGCTAGGATGTTGACGCTACTAGGTGTGTGCGCCTCGAGTCAGCGGTCAAGGAGACGCTGCGCCTGGCCCTCAACTCGAGCGCCGTCCGGTACGCTATGGAAGATGTGACGCTCGACTTTCCCGATGGTCGGCGGCTCGCCATGCGCAAGGGCGACGGTCTCGTGCTCCAGAGCAACCTTGCCTACTACGACGAAGCGGCGTTTCCTGACCCGTTCAACTTCGCGTACGACCGGTTCTTAAACAACCCGAGCCTCGCCAAAGACTTTTCGCCCTTTGGCTTTGGGAAATACCTCTGCCCCGGCCAGCACTATGCCACCGACTTTGTCAAGATTGTCGTCACGACGCTCATGCTCCGCGCGTCGATCACTAACGTCGAAGGCCGCGCAACGCTGCAGCACAACGCGGTCGGCGTCTTTATCCCCAAGGACCCGCTCGCAGTACACGTGACGCTCCAAGCCCGCCAGGCGCCGCACGCCTGAGTTTGTTAGTTTTTGCATATAGTAGCGTTTTGCATAGTACTACAGGTGTACCATGGACATGTTGTGCATCGCACGATTGTCGTTAAGGACTTGAGGACATTCTACCAAATTGTGTTGCGTGTTAGATATCTAGTTGGGTCAAGGGAAATGTCGTTCTGGCGGCGTTGGTGGTGGTACATCTGGCATCGTCCTCGGCTTCACTGCTCTCGATGCACGCAGCGAAGGTGCCAAGAGCGTATCTCTTCCAACATCCGACAAAATCCAAGAAAATAAGTTCCTATTTGCCTGTTGAAACAGTCGTATTGGGAATAGCTTGTACGCAGTGGTGTCGCTATTGCACGATACAATGTGATCGCGCGGAAGCCTGAGCGTAGAGAGCGTAGTTCATTCCACTGCGACTATTGTCGACACAGATTGTACGATTTAGATTCACAACGAACCGAGTTGCAACGGCTCGGTATCGGACTAGGGGTAGGGTTCCTCGCCGAGTCAGCACCGCGCCAAGTACAGGACGTGCATTTGGAAGCCTTGTTGATGGTGATTTGCCGGGAGGCGTCCAGGTGTGGGGACTTGGGGCATAGCTTATTCTTGGGCCTCATGCACTGGCGCGGGTTCGTGGCCGCACAACGGTCCGCGTGTATAGGTCTGCCACTGCAGAGTGCGCTGTGTGTCTGCTCCTCATCGCCAAGTCGTTGGGCAGTGGGTACTACATACTGCATTGGATATAAGTAGCAGTACTCGTAGACACATTCAACGCCGAGGGGTAGGGTATTTAGATGATTTCGACCACGTGCGACGTGCTGTCCTGGAGGTTGGCGAGCAGGTCGGGCGTGTTCCGTGCCAGAAGGTCGAGCTCGGGCGTCTTCTTCCACACAAAGTCGAGCTGCAAGAGCTGCAATTTGCGGTCGTGGGGCATCGTATCCTCCTTGTTGCGAAGGTCCTTGACGACCCACCCGAGCTGCATCTTCCAAATGTGCGTTGGCCACTGCGGGTCGCGCTCGGGGACTTGAAAGGACTTGGGTACTTTGAGGTGGCCATACAGGCGCTTGAACGTCGTCAAGCCCAAAAGGCGGTGTTCCCAGCTAAACTTTTTGCTGGCGACCCACACCATCCCGAGGTCGTCGAGCGCGTGCTTGTGCGACGTCGGCATCGTGTCCATCGTCAGCCGCAGCCTGTTGACGATGCGGCCGAGCTGGAGCCCCCACATGTCGCGCGGCCAGGTGGCCACGGTCGCGTTCTCTTCGTTGGGCACTTTGAAGAACTGCGGCACCTTGATGTGGCCGTGGAGGCGGCGGTAGATCTGCAGCGCGTGCAAGTGAATGTTCCACTGGAAGTCGGCGTGCTCCCACACAAAGCCCATCGCAAGCAGCTCGTCCTTGCGCTGCACCGGGCCGTCGGGGCCGTAGCTGCGGATCTTGCGCACGACGCGGCCAAGATGGAGGTTCCACACCTCGGACGGCCACGCGTCGTCTTCGGGCACATGGAAGCGCTCGGGCACGAGAAGGTCGCCGCAGATCTGCTTGTACGTGCGCAGTGCGAGAAGGTTCATGTCGCGCTTGTGCTCTTGCACGTCCCAGACAAAGTGAAGCGCATCGAGGGCCGCGACAATATCGGGCTCGAGGATGCGCACCTTGTACGCTTGGCGAAACACCATGACGTCGATCGTCGTGCCGCGCAATGGCAGCGGGAACGGGTCGGTCGCCGGTACCTTGTAGCGCGACGGCAGCACGAGGTACTTGACGTGGGCCGGCTGCGCCTGGTGCAAGATGTTGGCGATCGCTACCATGTTGTGCTGGCTCTCGAGCGAGGTTGCGGTTCGGTTCTGGAGCCGGCGCTTCTTGGTCGTGAGGGTGTACGGCGCGGGCGACGGCGTGGCGTAGAGCGGCGGCGAGAGAAAGTGCATCGCGCTGGGCGGCGCAAGGAGGAACACGACCTTCTTGATCTCGCCGAGCACATGGAGCGCGTCCTCGTACGTCATGAACATGTCGACCTCGTCCATGTCGGCGGCGTGGTTGAGGATCTTGGAAGCGGCGTCGCCGACGCGGACGACCGCGCCGCTCACGCGCTGCGCATACTGGCCGGCGGCAAAGGCCTTGAGGATGTCCACAAAGGTCGTCGACGGAAGCGCGTGCGTCAACGAGCGCTGCAGGATCGCGTCGCCCTCCATGACGCAGACGGCCAGCGGGACCGACGCCGACGGTGCCATCGTCGTCCGTGCCAACAACTCGGTTTACTCGAAATGAGGGCTCGCTGCGTTGACCGCCACAAGGTCCCGTGACACGTATTTTATTTTTAATAAAATGCAATTGGGATCTGTGTATACATGCAAGCCAATTAAAAACCGCATACAAATACTGAGACAAACAACAGTCACGCAACCGCAAGAGACTTGGCGACGTGGGTATGTTAACCCACGGCATCTCTTCCTGCGACGTTGAAGTTGCACTTCACCCCGAAGCTCGATGGGCCACCTTGGTATCTCCCATAGCTCTCAACGCTTGCCGTGTTCTGTAGCAAAATGGCTTGGCTATTACCGAGGTCGACGTACAGGCAAAATGGCTCGTCACTGCATAGGTGCATCTGTAGTTCAGTCTCTAGATCTAGACAACGCCCGACTTGGGCGAGACTTGACCGCACGCGCCGGCGTCGCTGCAGTCGCGCGGGTACGTCTTGAGTGCGTGCTCGACCTGGATCGTCGTGTGGTCGATGCCCTTGGAGATCAAGTACTCTTGCGCCTGGTGCAGCGCCTCGTCCGGGTTGCCTTCGCTCACCAAGTGCACGCTCAGCGACGGCAGACCGGCGCTCAGCGACCAAATGTGCAGATCATGGGCGTTCGAGACCGCCGGCAGCGCCAAAAGCCCTTCGAGGATGTCGTCCGGGTCGTACCCGTCCGGCGTGCCCTCCATGAGCACGTGGATCGACGACTTGATGATGCCGATGGTCGTGCCGAGGACGAGGATCGAGAAGAGGAACGTCGCGATCGGGTCGGCGACCTGCCACTTGGGCTCATACCAAATGAGACCGCCGGCGAGGCAGACGCCGAGGCTCTGGATAAAGTCGCCGAGGGCGTGGATGTACGCGGCTTCGATGTTGAGGTTTTCAAGCTTCTTCTTCGTGGGGGCTTCGTCGTGGCCGTGGCTGTGCGAGTGGCCGTGGCCAGCTTCGACATCGTCGTGGTCATGGTCGTCGTGGTCGTCGTGATCGTGGTCGTCGTGCGAATGCGAGTGGCCATGCGAGTCGGACTTGGCGCCGTGCCCATGGCCGTGATCGTCGCCGCCATGCGAGTGACCATGGCCGCCGTGGCCGCCATGGGAGTGGCTGTGGCCAAGGATCTTCATGAGCGCAAGGTTGACGACGAGGCCAATGCAGGCAATTATAAACATGAGCTTGCCATCGACATGCTCTTGCGGGTTGTCGCTAATCGCGTCCTGGAAGCGCTCGACGGCAGCGTAGACGAGGAAGCCCGTGAGCACCCAAATGACGAGCACCGAGATGACGGCGCCAAGAATCTCGGCGCGATGAAAGCCAAAGCTCATCCTGGAGCTGGCGGGGAACGTCTGGATCCAGATGGCAAAGAGCGAGATGAGGAAGCCGGCGACGTCCGAGAGCAAGTGCGCAGCGTCCGTCATGATGGCGAGCGAGCCGGCCATGAAGCCACCAATGACTTCCGCGACCATGAAGGCGAGCGCAAAGAGGCAGGCCCACTGCAGCTTGCGCTTGGCGCGCTGCGCCGCCTCATTGAGCTTGGGCGCGGCCTTGCGCGCGAGGAGCGGCGTCGACTCGGAGGCCATGGCAACGCTTCGGATCCGACGGGGCAAAGCAGGTGTGCACCACACAGAGGAGCGAGGAACGAGCGCGTCGATGGGTTGGCTTCGAATATATTAATATTGGCAAATAGCTCTCTGTTTGTATGCGGAGGCATTAAAATAAGGAGATCGCCTGTCTGACTGGATGTTCTATGACCGGATACGCAGACTCGAAGCGTGACCAACGGACAAGAGGAAGATCGCTACAAGCGCAAGCAGACAATGACATCTTGTCCGACGGCGTGTCTTGCCGTCGTATAGTTTGGTAGTCGAATGGCTCGACTACAGTAGAAGTAAAAGCCGTGGTTGCACGCGGTCAACGGTTTTCTGTTGCAACCAGTGGCTGGCTCCTGGTACACTGTACCGGTACTGAATTTGGATTTGGATTTAGCAGCCACTCGAAGGTAGAACACTCTTTACGCATTTGGAATGGTAACCTGTACGCGGTTGGTCCATCCAAATGCACTGACAATACGATCTACTGGTAACGGGCTGAAGCGTCGAGGTATGGGCATTCAACCTCCTGGAAGGTAAAGTTAAAAGAACATCGTCCCTGCCTTAAAGAGAAGCCTGGCGCTGTCGAGTGCCTCATGAAGCTACAATGGGCGTCGCTGAACGCGGCAGTTGTCGCCTCTGCAGGAATTTGATCTGGTCGTGTTGATCTCTACGTGGCAATGTCGTTGTCAAAAATGGAGTCGTGTGGATGTGCCACGTCATATGTGGAAAACGCGGGTTTTATTTCTCACATCGTTTCCTACTCTGTGGGTTTTGTGCGGTTGAATACAATAATCAAGTTGTTATAAAACACGCGCGAATTGCCGACCTGGAATTGTTCACGTGAGATTTATGTGTGTGAAAAGCAACCCAATCCTAGATCTATGACAAGGGAGGAAACCAGAGCAAACTACGCAGACGCAAGCTGCTTCGTCAAGCGCACTCCATTTGCACACTCCACTGGTGAACATGTACTCCTTCATCGTAAGGAGCCTACTACAGGTAATAGCAACTTGTACAGGCAAGATCCTTTGAGCTTCCCATCAACTCCATGTTGGCGTCATACCGCACTCCATATACTCTCGTTGACAGATATCAGTCATAACGACACGGAACTCTCCCTCTCTCGCCTCAACGTACGTCCTTGCCTTCAACTGCCCGCACTCTGCGATGCAAGCGCAAAACGAGCTCCTTCTTGAAGAGAAGCGCCACCAACGAAGCGGAAGGACGTTTAATCGGATGTACCTCGTGGGATCCGGGTTCGCAATTGACTGGCTGACACGCCACTGACCTCTCATCTTCCCTCATCTGGATCCCAAAGTGAGGTGGAGAGCAGGTGTGGGTCATCATGTCACGAAGCCGAAGGTGAGCTCCAACAATTTAGCTCCGAAGTGACGGCACCTTTGGCATTGTGCCCGTCGCAAGCTCACGAACTGACGGCCTTGCTGGCCGACCAAGCTACCACGTCGCTTCGGTGGGCTGTAGCGACGCCTTCGCCTGTCGGCAAGTTGGCGCGCGACACCGTAATTCGCTTAGCCAGTATGCTGCTACAAACATCGAAGCGCACGTTCGCGTGCCTTCGGCCAATCCGCGCGATGTCATGTACTTTATATGCGAATAAAAAATCGAAGCCACCAATCAGCGCGCCTCATTGCACCCAAATGAGGTGGAAGTGCAAGTAGCGCCGCCGACCACAAATCGCGAAGTCATTGGCCAAGCCTTCGAGAAAGGGCGGGCCGTCTTCGCCGTCGGATCCCAAGAGTCACAATCCAAAATCCCATCGTCATGGCAGCCATGAACGAAGCCTCGCCGCTTGTCCCTGCCAAGTCGGCGCCGCTCAACGAAGGTGCGCTCCGTGCCAAGAAGAAGCTGCAGTGGGCCTGCCTCTTTGCGCTCGTCTTTATGTTTGCCGAAGTCGTCGGTGGCTTCATGGCCGGCTCGCTCGCCATCATGACGGACGCTGCGCACTTGCTCTCGGACGTCGCCGGCTTCCTCATCTCGCTCTTTGCCATCTGGATCCAAACGTTCCCCGCCAGCTCCAAGATGAGCTACGGCTTCCACCGCGCCGAGATCCTCGGTGCCATCGTGTCGGTGCTCGTCATTTGGGTGCTCACGGGCTTCCTCGTCTACGCCGCCATTGACCGCTTCCAGGACGCCATCAGCGACAACCCGAAAGAGCATGTCGATGGCAAGCTCATGTTTATCATTGCTGTCATCGGCCTTGTCGTCAACCTCGCGCTCATGAAGATCCTCGGCCACTCGCATTCGCACGGTGTCGGTGGCGGCCACGGCCACTCGCACGGTGGTGAGAGCCACGACCACTCCCACGGCGCCAAGTCCGACTCGCATGGCCACTCGCATTCGCACGACGACCACGATCACGACGACCACGACGACCATGACCACGACGATGTCGAAGCTGGCCACGGCCACTCGCACAGCCACGGCCACGACGAAGCCCCCACGAAGAAGAAGCTTGAAAACCTCAACATCGAAGCCGCGTACATCCACGCCCTCGGCGACTTTATCCAGAGCCTCGGCGTCTGCCTCGCCGGCGGTCTCATTTGGTATGAGCCCAAGTGGCAGGTCGCCGACCCGATCGCGACGTTCCTCTTCTCGATCCTCGTCCTCGGCACGACCATCGGCATCATCAAGTCGTCGATCCACGTGCTCATGGAGGGCACGCCGGACGGGTACGACCCGGACGACATCCTCGAAGGGCTTTTGGCGCTGCCGGCGGTCTCGAACGCCCATGATCTGCACATTTGGTCGCTGAGCGCCGGTCTGCCGTCGCTGAGCGTGCACTTGGTGAGCGAAGGCAACCCGGACGAGGCGCTGCACCAGGCGCAGGAGTACTTGATCTCCAAGGGCGTCGACCACACGACGATCCAGGTCGAGCACGCACTCAAGACGTACCCGCGCGACTGCAGCGACGCCGGCGCGTGCGGTCAAGGCTCGCCGTAAATATACATAGGAGCCACTAGAATATATCCAAATCCAATTTTGTGATTTTATAGACACTTGCAGTGAGTCTCGACGTCTAGATTTATGCTGACCGAGAACTGTCGACGCCAGTGTCTGGCAGATGCACCACTGGATCCAAGATCGTCTTTGCCACACAAGAACCATTTTGATTGGCTATTGCCAATCTTGGCATTGACCAATCACATGGTAGGAACTTGTCGGCAGTGTCCACTCGGCGCCAACATCTTGTTGGAGTATAAAGGATCACCGAGCCTTTGTGGACCGATGCTATACACCAAGAAGAAGACAATATTCAACAATACCCCAGAAGACAATGAACACGTAATCCAATCAAACAAGAGCGCCACAGCCTCCAAGTTTGGTGCTTGGGTCGTAGTTACGTCTGAGCCATTCGCTCCAACTACATATTCGGAGGCTGCAGCCAACCGCGCAGTGAGTGCTCTTTGAACGGGGCTTGGTTTAGAATGTGATTTCGTGCGGTTGCCTGCCAAGTGTAATATCAAGTGCAATATCAAGTGCAAACAGGGTGTTTTTAGCCTCGCGATCTTTGGAACCGACGCCGCAAGTCGCACGAGGACCATGTACTATGACGACGACATGCGGTCGCGCATGCGCCACGAAGAGTCCGAAGGCGACCTCTACAGGACCGTTGTCGAGACGCGCCAAGAGAAGCTACGCGGCCAGCTGCAAAAGGTGGCGGGCCAAAAGGCCTTTCTGCGCCACGAGAAGCGACGACTCTTGCTCCAGCGCGCCTTGCTAGAGTCCGAGATGGATCGGTTCCAGGCCGCGTCGACGTCCGACTGGTTCTGCCACGACGCCTTTGCTGTCGGCGGCGCCCGCCTGCGCCTCCAGGTGGGTGGCTACGACTTCGAGCTTAGCCACGTGCTGGCGAAGCGCGACCCAAAGTCCCTCCTCGCGGCCATGGTGGCCGCCGACTCGCCGCTGCAAGCCAGTGACGTTGGTGGCTTTGCGATCGACCGCGACGGGTATAGTCCATGCTTCTTGGCGCGCTCGATGGCTTGAGGTAGGTTGCTGTTTCGACACGTCCTCAACTTCCTTCGAGACGGTCTCTTGCCCAACGACCCGAAGGTTCTAAGAGCACTGTACATGGAAAGCGACTTTTGGAAACTAAGTTCGCTCAAGCTCGCTATCGAAGAGAGGTACGGCTGTCCAGTGTCGCTGTACTGATTCGAAATACTTGCACACGCAGCAAAATCCAGCTCAAACCAGCACAGACCGGTGTCGACTCGGCAAAAGGCGCTGCATCAAGCGCACTAGACAAGGGAGGTGGCGATGCCAAGACTGCCAAGCCAATGGCGGAGGGAGGTGCCACAGCAAAACCATGGTACGAAGCCGTCATTCGATTTGGTCAGGGCGACGCCGTGTAGGTGGAGCGAGCCGCCGCAGTGGTGGGGCAAGCTGCCGAGCAAGGTACTTGACTACATCATTGCGTCGAGTAAGCAGTATCAAGCGTAGCCTGCCGAGCCAAAGAAGGAAGAGAAGCCCGATATGTATTCGTGGTGGAAGGGCACCAAGTACAAGGGCAACGACTACGCCAAGTTCCTCTGCGACGATCATTTTGTACCGCCCAAGCAGCCGGCGCCACCGTCGGCGTCGGCCAAGAAGGAAGAGCCACCGCAGTACCCCGCACTGCGTAGTACGTGGACCTCGTACCGCCACTTGGCATAAAAGCATAGTCCAGTGTTTGTGGACACTCTATTGTGGACAGTTGATGTCTGCGTTCTGGTATCAACTCATGCATTCTCACGACATCTAGTCGGAGCTATTCCCGCTCTTCTTCTTGGTCGACGTCGCAGCAAGCCGCTGGAAGTTCGAGAGACCGCGCGACGCGCTCGGCGCGGCCGGCGCCGCTTTGAGCGGCCGCATGAGCCCACTGGACACTTTGAACTCTTTGTCACCGTCGTCGTACTCGATGTCGTAGCGGCCGTCGCCATAATCTTTTGTGATCGTGCCCTTGAAATATTCCTTCTTGCCTTTATACTGCGCTTCGACTTTAGCACCAACGCGGTACGAGGCGGTGCTGGACGACGACGCCCCGCCTTCCTTGAGCTTGATCAACTCGGCAGCGACTCCGGTTTCCTTCTCGCCGTCGTCGTAGTCGATGTCATACGTGCCGTTGAGCCGCGCGCGGGTGATGAC